CTATGGATCGCATTTAATAAAGGGGATTGCCATAAGATTTGATTGTCCTGATGTACCCGTACTCAAAACAAGAGGCTACTGCCAGGACAGAATACAGACGAATTACATTTTATCTCCCTTTTGGTTTAGTGTGTGCACTGGACATATCACACAACATATTAAGTAAGGTTAGACTCTGAGAAAGGAGGTATAAAGAAACATCACCAACTGGAAATATGCAGACACCATCTTACTAGCAGAAAATAGCAAACACTTGGAATGGTTACTGAAGTAAGTCAAGGCAGAAAGTGCAAAGACATGTATACAGTTGAACATTAAGAAAACAAAAATAATGAAAACAGATTATTGCTTAACTTGGAGCCCCCGGTGGTGCAATGGGTTAAATCTTTGTGCTGGCAGGACTGAAGATTGACAGGTCAAAGGTTCGAATCTGGGGAGAGCGCGGATGAGCTCCCTCTGTCAGCTCCCGCTCCCCATGTAAGGACATGAGAGAAGACTCCCACAAGGATGGTAAATGTCACGATCCCAGGGCTCTGCCTTATTCTGGTAGATATGAACCAAACAAATACTCAGTTTGTATCAAGCAGTTTAATTAAAACAGCACTTACTTTCTGGCTGTTTTAATAGTCCAAAATGTAAAACATAAAGATTTCACTCAGCCACAGAATATAAAACAAAAACAGCAAACACTGTTGCAGGTTCAAGATAACTCCGTAGTCAAAAGGTCCAGTCCACTGGTCAAACGTCAAGATTTCAATAAGCAAAGTCCAGGGATCAAGCGTCTATATCGTAGTCAAAAGCCAGTCCAAAGATTCAAGGTTCCAGGATTCCAAAGATTCAGGAGACAGGCCAGGACACTGAAAATCCACAAACCTGGGGGAAAACTAGCAGCATCTACCACCAAGATAATACAAATACTTTTCTCCCAAAGATCAGTCCCAAGGCTAGCCCATTATATCCAGAAACACCCAGCTGCAACCTATCTCTTGCATGCCTCCACCCTTAATTGTTTTCACCCATTAATTCTTACTTACAGATTACTCAGCCCTTTAGAACTTAGACTTACATTAACCCTTCTATCACCAACTGCTAGGCCTACCACCACTAACCACCATCAACTGCAGAACATGATACATGAAAGTAAAACACTAAAACATCCAGGTGTCCTCTGGGCAACATCCTTGCAGATGGCCAATTCTCTCACACCAGAAATGACTTGCAGTTTCTCAAGTTGCTCCTGACACGAAAAAAAAAATCTTAACTTTAAAGCAGATGATGTAAACTTCAAAAAATTCAACATTTTCTATAATTTGGCTCAATCATGAATCTGAATGGAGACCACAGTCCAGAAATCAGAAGAAGACTGGGACTTGGAAGGGCAGCTATGAAGGAACCAAACAAGATCCTGGAGGGTAAAGATATGTAATTGAATACCAAAGTTAGTATTATCCATGCCATTGAATTTCCAAATTCTGTGTATGGTTGTGAAAGCTGGACAGTGAAACAAGCTGATAGGAAGAGAGATAAAGTGGAATATAAATAAAGTATATTATTATTATTATTATTATTACTGCTACTACTACTACTACAATACTTAAGGTACCCGGCAACCCCTGGATTAGGTCTTTTGTAATGATAAATATTAGTATTTGTTACTTTTTGGATTTTATGAATGGTTCCGTTAGAAAATGTGGTACTGTTCCATTGTCTGGATGGATGCCAAAAGGGGGCCTAGACAGAGAAGGATAATCCATGTTGTGTGTGGGAAGGGGCGGGGGTTGAAAGAGTAAAACCATTTCCCTGTTTTCCTGTTATTCCCCCACCCATGTCACTGTCATGGAAACAACCCTTTAAGATGGGAAGGGGGGAGGGAGAATAACCAGCAAAAAAGGGGGAAATAGTTTTCCTCCTTCACCCCCCCCCCCCCCCCGCAAAATGGACTATCCTTCTCTGTCTAGGCCCCCTTTTGGAGTCCACTCAGATACTGGAACAGTACCAAAAATGTATAACAATGTGGGTGAACGGCAACACCCACCATCTTGGGTCAATTCCCCCAAACACTGCAAGTATTCAAAGTTGACCATGTTGTGTATATATACCTAAGTTGGTCCAGATTCATTGTCAGTTGGGTTCACAGCACTCTTTGGATGAGAGTGACAATAAATCCCAAAATTCAAGGTCAATTCCCTCCAAACTTCACCAGCAGATCTGTGTTACAAAAGGCAACAGATGACCCTCTTCCAAAGGCCAGGGAACGATTCCCTTTTACAACCTTGCCTACAACTGTAAAGCCTCATACCATAGCAGATACCCTAGCAGTGGTTCTCAACCTGTGGGTTCTCAGATGCTTTGGCCTTCAACTTCCAGAAATCCCAACAGCTGGTAAACTGCTGGGATTTCTGGGAGTTGTAGACCAAAACACCTGGGGGCCCACAAGTTGCGAACCACTGCTTTAAAGACAAACAAGTTTTATCTGGTATACGTTTTCATGGACTTAAACTCCTTCATTAAAGTCAGCTCCACAAAAGCTTGGACAAAGTAAAACCTGTTAACCTTTGATTTCAGTCATTTTTGTTGCAAAAAGTCTCACACGAGTCTTTTTCCTAGGCCATTGCTTCCATTAGAAAAACACTGCTCTATGGATTTGGTATCTCCACAAACTTGAAAAACTGAAGTGTAAGCAAAGGATCCATGTTCTGTTATTGAATCAGTTCCTAGTTATTGAAAAACAGGTTTTGTACAAGTAATGTTACAACTCATTGCCTGTTTTGAGGAAAGCTCATTACTCACAATGAGAACTTATAATTAACTCCCATCTTTCTAGAAAAGTGAAAAAGTATCGTAGTATGATCATAACTTACCGTAGTACGGTCATAACTTACTGTATGTAGCTTTGAAGTTACTGCATATTTATGAGATTCAGTGGAGAAACACCATAATCATTCAAGCTCAGTCTGTCCTCTTTTTTTCTGGACCAAGGTGCCAAAGAGAGACGGAAGGAAGCAAGGAATATTTTTGGCATTATAATTCTGTTGCTGCTGGAATTTATAACGGTAAAATGCAGTGTTTTTGGATACTTTTGAAAAAGCATTTGTTACAGAAAAAAATTGAATAAAAAAAATCACTTTCAAAACTGTGAAATCAATCAGCCTTTAATGCCTATCATTCTACAGATTGGAGAAAGAAGCTCTTGAAAAAAAACATTTCTAAAGTGGTGTTTTTTTTCTAAAGTACAGCAATTATTGTTGTACTGTTCATTCGCTTCCGACTCTTCGTGACCTCATGGATCAGCCCATGCCAGAGCTCCCTGTCGGCCATGGCCACCCGCAAATCTCTTGGGAAGGCAAGCGGACAAATGTCAGTGTGCTGGAAGAAGCAAAGATCACCAGCATTGAAGCGATGGTCCTCTGCCATCAACTCCGCTGGGCTGGCCACGTTGTCTGGATGCCTGACCACCGTCTCCCAAAGCAGTTGCTCTACTCTGAACTTAAGAATGGAAAATGGAATGTTGGTGGACAGGAAAAGAGATTTAAAGATGGGCTCAAAGCCAACCTTAAAAACTCTGGCATAGACACTGAGAACTGGGAAGCCCTGGCCCTTGAGCGCTCCAGCTGGAGGTCAGCTGTGACCAGCAGTGCTGCAGAATTTGAAGAGGCATGACTGGAGGGCGAAAGAGAGAAACGTGCCAAGAGGAAGGCAAGCCAACCCCGACTGAGACCGCCTTCCACCTGGAAACCGATGCCCTCACTGCGGGAGAAGATGCAGATCAAAAATAGGGCTCCACAGTCACCTACGGACCCATAGCCAGGACACCAGTCTTGGAAGACAGTCCTATGAGGAATCACCTAAGTAAGTAAGATTGCTACAAATGCTATAGAGGCACAACTGCTTTTTGAAGGCTGCACCTAGAATGAATGCCCCACTGTTGGAAACTGACAGCCTAGATGGGTCTTGGATGCTGCTTTAATATCCATGGTTCGATACAATGAGATCATGGGGGTTGATATTCATGGACCGTGCTCTTACCTACAAGAAGCATTGCCTGAACATCAAGCAAAAAGTGGGTGTTAGAAACAATATCATACGAAATCTGACTGGCACAACCTGGGGATCACAACCAGATACAGTGAAGACATTTCCTCTTGCGCTGTGCTACTGTGCTGCTGAGTATGCATGCCCAGTGTGGAACATATCTCACCACACTAAAACAGTGGATGTGGCTCTTAATGAGACATGCCGCATTATGGCCGGTATCGCACCACCTGTCATYCGCCGGGAAGTGGCAGCCAATAGTGAAAGGACCAAGGCAGAGACATCTCCARCTCATCCCCTATTTGGGTATCAGCCAGCATGTCAACAACTTAAATCCAGACATAGTTTTCTATGATCTACAGAGACACTGATATCGAGATCGTACTAGCTGGAACACCTCAGCAAGTGAGAGTCCAAAAGTGGCAGACTCAAACCCAGAACCTCAACCAATGGCTGATACCAAATGAGAGACTCCCCCCTGGGCACACAGAGGACTGGGCGACTTGGAAGGCGCTGAACAGACTGCGCTCTGGCACCACGAGATGCAGAGCCAACCTTCAGAAATGGGGCTAGTAAGTGGAATCCTCGACATGCGAGTGTGGAGAAGAGGAAACTACAGACCACCTGCTGCAATGCAACCTGAGCCCAGTACGATGGAGGACCTTCTTGCAGCAACACCAGAAGCACTCCAAGTGGCCAGATACTGGTCAAAGGACATTTAATCAACTACCAAACTCACACATTTTGTATTTTCTTTGTTTGTTTGCTTTGTTCTGTTAGAAATGTAATATAATTGACTGGCTGCCCTGACACGAGAAATAAAAATGGGGGTTGTAGTCTTGTGCAAGCCATCGCGCGCTCACTACACCACTGAGTCGATTGGCCTGGCCCATAGAGAGAACCCTCGCGAGGAAACTACCCTTCCCAGAATGCTGCGAGCGAGAGAGGGAGCGAGGCAACCTGCGCGTGCGCAGTCCTTCCTACCCTTTGCCCAACTTCTTCCCAGTTCTCTGTCAATCTTGGCGACTTGAGGAGGCAGCAGGATGTCGGCTCCGCTGAGGTTTGACGGGAGAGTGGTCCTGGTCACCGGGGCGGGAGGAGGTAAGCAGGATGAGACCCTGAAGGTCCCCAAGGCTGCTGGATCCCCAGAAGTGGGTCGGGGAGAGGAGCTTTTTTGCCTTATTGCTCTCTTCGTTGAGAGTAACGTGTGAATGCACTGCTTTTGGGGGGAGAATGGTCTCGTGTCCTATTGGGACCATCCCTTCCCATGAAATCCTCACAAATCCAGTGTTCCTAGTGGGATCTTGGCTTTTTTCCAGTCTGTGCACTTGTAATGGTTACAGCAGTGGTTCTCAACCTGCAGGTCCCAGATGTTTTGGCCTTTCAACTCACAGAAATCCTAACAGCTGGTAAACTGGCTGGGATTTCTGGGAGTTGTGAGCCAAAACACCTGGGGACCCACAGGTTGAGAACCATTGGGTTAGAGTGTATTATTATTATTAGTTATTAATAGTAATAATAATAATTATTAATCATTAATATTACTATTTGTATTTGTATGCCTGGCAAACTTCGGCCCTTCAGGTGTTTTGGACTTCAACTCCCACAATTCCTAACAGCTGGTAGGCTGTTAGGAATTGTGGGTGTTGAAGTCCAAAACACCTGAAGGGCCGAAGTTTGTCCATGCCTGACACTGTTGTATTATTGAGTTTGTATGCCACCTTTGTTCCAGACTGACACTATAACCCTAGAATACATCTGCACTATATCATTAATGCATTTTGACACCCTCATTTAGTGGCATGGCTCAATGCTATGAGACCAGTCTTCTCTTCTGGGTCCTCACCAAACTACAACTCCCTCAACTCCCATCGCATTGAGTTATGGCATTAATTCTGCAGTGTGGATGCACCTCAGTGTACACAGGTTCAAATCCTCACTCAGCCCCTAAATCTCAGAAGAAGGGCCTTGGCCTGCTTGCTAAGGTTGTTGGGAGGGGTTTAAAAATAAAAATATAACGTGAGACCTTTGGTGGAATGATGATAAAATAAGTAATGTCATTATTTTAAGCCATAATACTGAATTTCACAAATTAGCTATAAAATTGGCCTGGGGTTTGGTTCCACAGCTGTCATAGACACCAAAAATCTGTGGATCCCCAAGTCCCATTGCAAACAGTGATATAATAATATAGTGAACTGGTGTTCCTTATATAAAATGCAAAATCAGTATATTTTTTTTGCATTAAAATATATTCAAACTGTGGATGCAGAATCTGTGGATATGGAGGACCATATATCTTCTGAAGCTATTATTGTCAGTCTGATTAAGCTAAAGATATTCTGGTCCTCCTGATCCTTCCCTTTTATACTATTTCACAGCATAGATTAAACTCTTGTGCCAGCTGAACTGCTGACCTGAAGGTCAGCAGTTCGAATCCGTGAGACGGGGCAAGGTCCCACCTATCAGCTCCAGCTTCCATGTGGGGACATGAGAGAAGCCTCCCACAGAATGGTAACACATCCGGGCGTTCCCTGGGCAACGTCTCTCTCACATCAGAAGCGACTTGCAGTTTCTCAAGTCACTTCGGACATTATTTAAGAAAAAAAAAACCATCATAGGGTTTGTACTGCAGTTCCTATCAAACAGAGCCAAAGAGGAGGATATGGAGAGTTGCAATCTGCAGAGTCTTGTGATTCCCTGCTCTACTGTTTTGTCAAAAGGAAAACTATACCTTGGCAAATAGGCATTGAAGGCTAAGGGTGCATCTACACTAGAATGAATGCAGTTTTGACACCACTTTAACTGCCATGTCACAATGCTATGGAATCCCAGGAGTTGTAGTTTGGTGACATTCCAGCACTTTTGTGCAGAGAAGGCTAAAGGCCATGTAAAAGTACAACTCTCATTGTTCCAACTCATTGAGTCGTGACAGTTAAAGTAGTGTCAAACTGCATTCATTCTGTAGTTGATGAACTTTGAGCCCTCTTAAGTATGTAGCATGTGTTTTTGACCTCGGCTGGACAAAGGTTTAGGTTATTGCCTGCGATTCCCATATTGTGGTTGAGAGGATTGTTTCCCTAGGGCTGCTCACTCCCAAATGAATCAACTACTGAAGAAGATAGTAAACATAGATAGCAAACCCAGCCTGTATTTTGCAATATAATATATGCTACTGACTTGTTGGTCTGGTTAAACTTAATGAGTTATGCCTTGAAGCATTCTGAATGCTGATTATTTTGATTTTAGGTTAAGTTTCTTGGGGTGCATTTACACTGTAAAATGAATGCAGTTTGACACCACTTTAACTCTGATGGCTCAATTGGGATCTTTAGAGTTGTAGGGCTGGTGCCTCACCAAACTACAAATCCCAGATTCCCATTGCATTGAGAATAGATACACCCTTCCTATCAGGCTTTCTCGGTTAAGTTTTAATACATGATAACAGAGAGACAGGTATCTGAACCACAAATATAGTATGAAGTAAACAGGGCAAAATAGAGAGACAGTACTGTCAACATTTCAGAATTAACAAGTTATTTCCTATCAGATTAAATTCAAAGTTGGGGCTGTTACCCAATTCAAGCTGCATCAAGGTGGGATATGAATAGCACAGCACAATAATAAAATGTCTTTTTTCAAAACTCGTTTACATGGGGGGTAAAGGTAAAGGTTTCCCCTTGACATTAAGTCTAGCCGAGTCTGACTCTGGGGGTGGTGCTCATCTCCATTTCTAAGCTGAAGAGCTGGTGTTGTCTGTAGACACCTCCTAGGATGATCATGTAGCTGGCATGACTGCATGGAGCATGGATGCCTTCCTGCCTAAGCAGTACCTATTGGTCTACTCACATTTGCATGTTTTCCAACTGCTAGCTTGCAGAAGCAAGGGCTAATGATGGGAGCTCACCCCGCTCCCTTGATTCGAACCTCTAACCTTTCAGTCAGCAAGTTCCGCAACACAGCGGTTTAAAATCCTGCTCCACCGCAACCCCAATATACACGGGAGGTGCATTTATATATAGAAAGCTGACATGATGTGGAAATATAGGTATATACTAGGATTCTTGAACAAGTTGTTTGATAAACACAAAACAGGAGTTAGGAGGAAGGGGACTTTTCTGATTTAGGGGAAGAGATTTCTTAGGATATTTATTTTTGCTTCTTATTTATAAAAGGATCAACATACAGTTTGAGCAGAAACAGAAACAAAATGCCAATAGATTTGCTCAAGAAAAATAGATTTGCTCAAGAAAAATATATCCCACTAACTCATAAATGCAGTTTTCCTATTTGCATTAAATATAAATACTGTATGATAAAATACTTGGGGAACTATGTAGAAATTATTTTGATACTTCAAAAATTAAAATAGTATGGAAATAGAGTGGTTTGCCACATGTTTTTAGTGTATAGAACTGGATTCAGTGAAAAGTAATTTCATCTTAATACGTATGTTTATTAATTGGAATTTGTTCTGCTCTTCCTATATTAGATGTTCAGATGTCATTCCATGTTGTTATTTACAAGATGGCTCTTCTTGTTGTTCTACTTTCTCTTCATGTTTGTTGCTTTCTCATTTTGGCAAGTGTTTCTTTTGAGGTCCTGTTCTCACCAGTTGTGTGACAGCATTTTGAAAATTGGCCAGCTGTAACAACACTCTTTGTTCAAATATGCTAATTCAGCCCTAGAAAATTTGCTCTGAGACTGAGACCTTTATTTAACTTAAAGCTATTACGTAAATACTTTCTAACAGTTTCTTATATTCTTAACATGCTTTTAGTAGATTTTGTTAGGAAGATCTCATTTGTATTTATGTTACACACATCCTTCACAAGGAGTGCATCCACACACTGTTGAATTAATGCAGTTCGACATCACTTCAACTGCCATGGCTCAATGCAATGGAGTCTTTGGAACTGTAATTTGGTGAAGCACCTGTACTACTTAGCAGATAAGGGCAAAGGTTTTGTAAAACTACAACTCTCATGATTCCATAGTATTTAGCCTGGGCATTTAAAGCGACGTCAAACTGCATTAATTCTGTAGTGTAGATGGACTCCAAATTCCACTCTTTGTTTTTACTTTATGTGTCTTTAAGTTCATGGAAATATTCTCTGTCATGACTGCAACTCTGCAACCAGAGATCTTCACACCTGACATTTCAAACCCAAAATTTGATATGTTTGGTACACACCAAAATCAAGGCTTATTTATTGGCTTCTTCCTAAATATTTTTGAGCCATGTCTGGTTGCATCTGTGGATTTAAAACTTGTGGACACCGAGTGCTGAGTATATACTTTTAGCGTGACATATGTAATGACAGCTCAGCTACACTGAACCTGGAGTTGTGCAAACTACTGTATAATAAGCTGCACAACTTTGAGCACAACAGTTTATAAGTTACCCATCCCATCAAGTCAAAGGTGAGAGCAAGGGTTGTGTGTCTGCTTGTGAAATAACTGGCTGTGCTAAGGTCCACATTACATAATCACTTTGATATATAATTATTGTGTAATTGCTTTCACCATAATGGGTTCTGTAACAGGATTCTGGAAGAGAACTTTGTAATGTGGGAAAAGGTGTAATATACTTTCCTAACACTTTTCAGGCAGGTCCTAAATATTACTTTGTTTTGTAAGGAAGATAAGGAAGAGATAGTTGTTTCATGTTGTCCATATTACGTGCAAACATGTCACTACAGGGCATATACTGGGGCGAGTGATATATAACACTCCAGATGTTTTAAATTTCCATTCCTACAATCCCTACCCATTGGCCCTATTGTTCCAGAACAATGGAGACCCACATGTACATACTTGTGTCTAATGTATGTATTTGTGTTTTCAAAATGATTCCACAAGTGAGATTCTGAACCTTTAACAAGAATTTTGAAATACACATACATATGTGAATCTGTATGTCTAAGAGTTTGTCTCTGTAAAACAGCCCCCCACCCTAAAGAACTTACAATATATTTAAAATAAATAATCATTCAGTGCATATTGGGGGGAGTCTAAGGTGGAAATGCTATACCTGCCTACATTATCATAAGTTATGCTGAGCGTGATTTCTTTTTGAGTAAATATAGATAGAGCTGCTATAAATCAGCAATTTGTTACCTGAGTCCTTTCACATTACAGGCAGTCCCCAGATTGCAAACAAGATACAATCTGTAGGTTTGTTCTTAAGTTGAATTTTTATGTAAGTTGGATAGCATTTAACACTCCTGTGTGGTTTGTTTTGCGAGGGTTGAAAGAGTCATTCCTTAATGCCGATGGGTGCTTACGACAGATGCTTCACCAGGTCATTTCTGACAGCAAAGCCAACTTGGTGTACTCTTCATTCTTCTTCAGGCAGTCCCTTCCAGATGGTGTAGCCTCCTTTTCCTTCCTTCAACTGTCCTTCTCCTGGTCTCCTGGTCTCCTGAAGTGCTGCTATGTTGATGTTAAAACGTTCTAGCTCCCTTGCAATAATAGCAATCCTGTGTTCAGGGTGTTCACTGTCTGTGTTGTCCAACAGTGTCTGTACATTCCATGTTCTGAAATTCACTTTTCTTTTTCGGCTGCAAGGATACTATAGTCCAGTCAGGGATACGTGAGCCAGACTACATTTAGGGCATTTTTTCTAGCCCCCTCCCCATATGGGATGAGCAGAGTGGATCCAAAAAAGGGTTGCTCAGTCATGTATACAGCTGCTGGACTACTTAACTGCCTCGGATCTTGAGGTAGCAAGACTGAATCCATATCCACTGCCCATGTGCTATTCTGTGACTAGGGGCTTCCGGATTTCACAGTCCTGCCCATGTGCCACTCAACTGACCGCCATGGGATTTCCGTTAGTACTGTTTTATTTTTCTTGGAAGATGTCTGTGCGTGAGTTTTTTTTATATGTGGAGGTCAGTACACAGCCAATCAGCACACAGTCTTCACAGAATAAAGGTCCCATCCAATGGCATGGTTAACACAATGACAGTGGCTTCTCATCTGTTGCCGCCTACTTCCGCCTTCACAGCTGTTGCAACATATACCATGTTGTTGTCCGCCTGCTCCACCATTGAGGTCTTCAGATTGTACTTGGTCCCGATCCTCCCTTGTCGCCCCTCCCTGGAGTACATGACTCCAACGGTTACACCTGCAGGTTCATTGGAACACGCAAGACCCCTCACCACAATAAGCTGATAACCCATTGAGGGGGGTGACAGTCCATCTCTTTTATAAAGCCAATTGGTCTTTGAGGTCATGTTCAAACCCTGGTCCTTCAGATGTCTTGAACTTTAGTTCCCATAATTCTTGAGCATTGACCAACTTTGAGCTGGAAATCCAAAACATGTGGTTGGTAAGAATATAAGAACTTCATCATTTTTTCCACTTGCAAACCCTTTGCATACAAGTATTTTTTTCAAAGTCCTGACTTAGAATTTTTTTTCCACATCCCCAGGTATATAGGTTTATAAAATAGGTATAAAAATTAAACATTTACTGAGAATAAATTGGCATTTGCCAGACATGCTAAACAGGCTGATTTTCCTCTTTATGAAGTGCAACTGAAGCATTTTCTGCAGGTTCAATTGTAAACTCTTTTTGGGATTAGGACCCACAATTTAAGAAGCAGTGATACAGAGAAGACATCTAGGTGCTACCATATGTACTTAAGCTCCACTTGATAGTTCTTTAATGCAGTACATTAGTGTGTCACCTATTACAATACTTTAAAAAAATCTGTTTGAGTTTGCAAATACATTACGACCCCCATTGCTAATGATAATACATGCTTTTACTTATCCACAATTTCACTTAGGGCCTTCTGTGGAACCTACAGTCTCTTCTCAATCCCTGTGTTGGTCAACCCACTGAAAATATTATGGTTACTATTATCAGCAGTTTCACACATCCATGCAAAATTGGGAATCTAACCTCTGTGGATATGTAGGTTGTACTGTACATAACTACACATTATAAATTGCACAAAATGCACCCTTGGGGCTTCTTTTTCCCTGGCAAACCTGTGTTGTTCTTTGTGTGTCATCCGGAGAGACCTTCCTGGTATTGCCACACACTTGTGATATTGGCTTCTGCAGTTAGTGCAGGACATTTAGTGTGCTACGAACTATTATGTGGAATTCCCTTTTCTCTCATACTCTGTCAATTCTTGTTTTCAGGTTGATGATATACAGTCACCCCTCCACATTTACTGGGATTAAGGGTGAAAAACATTGAATGTAGAAAAACAGTGACTTAAAAAGCTACTTTTTTGAAACCTCAGGGAACATATCCCTAAGAATATTTAGGTCTTCCAGTGCAACTCTGTAGTCAGCTTCGGCTGGAGTTGAACATAGAGTTGCTCTGGAGAACCAAGAGTTTCCTAGAGATAACATATTAATCAAATCTGTAAGTAAAAGAATAAGTAAATCCTCGAAAGTGAAATCTGCAGACTTGGGGGGCTGACTGTACTTACTTTTGCAAGCCTTCCTGATGTAATTTATCCTTCAGAACAATGAAGTTGCATATTGTTTGGATTTGTTTGTCTCATGATTGTTATGTACTACTTTGACATCATTAGATCAAATACATTTAAATAAGCAAGTTAGTAAATTCATTAGCACTGTTCCTGTTAAGGCTGAATCATGATTATCATGTACTAGAAATAGATTATCTTTACCCTTGGCATTGGGATATGCTCTAGTCACTTTTAATAAATCTGTGTACTGTATTCAGACATTTTGAAGGGAAGCTAACAAGTAATGGGAATGCAGATAAGCATAAGCTGCGTAATACCCAAAGATTCATATCTGTGTAAAAGTCATCAAAATCACATTGTAATTGCTTATTGTAAAATAGGGCATCAATTCTTTTCACAGAAAATGTCTAGTTGTTCCCATGGGAGAAAAAACAGAACTTCAACAGAGATTTTTTGAAATAGCACAAAAGAATACTGTCCGTTGTTGTGGAAACACTATTTTGAATTTATATAAAGCTTCTTTTGCTTAACCAAGTTCTCAATTCAGTTTGCTTGAAATCATGTTTTTTGTATGGGAAAAAAACTACCAAGTTCTGTCCTTTTACAAGTTTTAAAAGCTTGCAGCAAGTATTGTCAAATCTCTGCCCACATAATTGCTTGTGTAGCTAAATTGTCCTTGGGGGTCAAGGTTTGAGATAGTGTGTGATATCAAGACTGGATTGCTTTATGAGGATGTTATAACATGTCAAGACAGTCCTCAGCACTGAAACGTTTTCCTTCAGTACAGAATGGCATGTGGGTGTATAAACAGTCAATGAAGCAATCTGAAATTTCTACTTCAATGGTTGAAGCTGACATACTTTCTAAAGTGTGGAGGCTTGAATTGAAACCCACACTCTGTTGCTTTCTGAGGAATTTGTATTTGAAACAAAAAGTACATTCTAACTATCCACTGCTCTGTGTCATATTCTTCATGACAGAGGCATATTCTCACTGATGTTAAACTTAAACTTGCAGGCTATTATATTAACTTGAAATGTAGTAGATTAATCAAAGGTTTTTTTCCACTTTGCTCATTATGCAAGAATAAATTATATGTCTCCTCCATTGCATAGTTCACTTGCATAGTTTATTAGAGATCTGTGTGCAAATGGTAGGATTTAAGGAATTAGCGACTGCAGTGATGGCTTTTCTTGGACCACCCCGTAAGCCTGGGATGCCAATTATCTTGGCTTTGGGCATCTGTTTCTGGTTTTCCACATCGGTTTCCATATTGTATGGATATTCATGACTTTGTGTATTGATTAACTTGGGAATGAATTTTTCACTTCCGTTCTATATATCCCAGAGCTTGGGAAATTTTCTTCTGTCAACTACAATTTTCTGATCAATGGTCTTGTAGGATGACTGTTCTGTGAACTGCAGTTCAGAAGAAAAAAAAACCTTTCCAAACTACAAGTATTTTCCCATTCCTAAACCTGAATGCTTTTAAAATGATGACATTATAGCTGGTTTTCTTGTTTTCAATTCATGCTAGGTCTTGGTCGAGCATATGCACTGGCTTTTGCAGAAAGAGGAGCCTCTGTAGTTGGTGAGTTGTTAACTTTTAATCTTCTGCTCGCAAACATTTTCTTCGTAGTTTTGCCTTGATTTGCTGCAGCTTGTTAACCTTTGCACTTTTAAAGAATTATTATGTTCTTTCATTTCCAGAGTCCAGCCTTGAGCTTGCTTTGCACTGAAATGTCTCCGACCTACTTTAATACCAAATTCAGAAGTAAAGTTTAGGTTTTAATGGTACACTGTCATGTCCACAAGTACACCTATTTATGAAGATACCACTGCTAATTTTAATGGTGCGCAGTTGTTCAAAAGCTGAATGTTTTCTGAAAACAAATGTATTTTGATGTCATGACACAGCCTAGAATAAGACACACAAACCAGTGTAAAAAGTCAGAAATCTTTATATCTACATTTGTTTTTGGTGGTAGCTAGTCTCCATGGGCAGCAGCTGGTTCATCTGATGCATTTAAATGAATATTTTGAAATGAAATGGTACATGAAATAGTAACTTTAGGAATTCTGCAAAGGCTTTCAATCTGTTTCTTCAGTTATGTTCAGAAAGCATTTTGAACTGCAATATTAACGAAAATTAATAAAGAGGACACAACATAATGCCGGATATGTTTTAGCAGGAAATGAATTGTTACATTTAATAATTCACTAATGCCAAGCAGCTTTGAAATGTATATGGAGTGGTCTAAGAATTTGTTTTTACCATATCATTCAGCTGAAAGAATTGCTTCTATGATTAATAGTTGGAGAGGGAACAATTCCTCCTTCCCTGTACATTCTTAAAATACACTTCCTCAGAGCTGAAAACTTTGCAAAGTAAATTTCCAGGCATGTTAGTGTGGAAAGGGGATGATTCTGTTGCACTAATGCAGAGGTTGTCAAACCTTTTCAGTCATGGGAGCACCTTTGAAATATGAAAGTCAAGGCAAAGCATTCAATTTCATCTTGCACCTACATACTGTATTTGATAAATAAAATAATAAAATTAACAAAGTAAGGTAGTTCCACAATTTATGCATGCAAGACATTAAGTTTGATCATGACAAAACTAGATACTTATTGAAAGATGTAATCTTTCTCTTTAAAAAATCCTTACCTTTTTGCAGAGCACTTAGGAATTGTTTTGCGGTTTGAGAAACTCTGCACTAATAGACAAAGTTGAATTTAATCCTTTGTGTATTGCCAATATTGAAACCTACTTGGGTTCAGTTTAAACCATGATTTTGGAATCTTTTTGAAAGATGAGAGGTGGGGTTTTCTTCAGCTGAAACTGAGTTGGAAGGGAAAAAATGCAGTCAACAAAATTGTTGCGTGTACAGATGGGAGACCATGGAGAATGTGTTTTTCAGATGTTTAAATAGCTGAGAACTGAGTTGTAAGTTTCACTAAAAATTTAACCAAGATCAACTGTTTTTGTATTCATCATAGTTTTGTCCATTGTAATTAGAGAATTAGTATCCTTTCAAATCTTTTTGGACAACAGCTCCCATCATACATGACTTTGACCAATTAGACTTCTGGCAATGGTTGATGTGAATTAGACTCAAAACAGGACAGAATCATAAAAGTATAGAATTGGAAGAGACCACAAGGGCCATGCAATCCACTCCCTGCAATGCAGAAAGTTTGAGAATCCATTGTTTTACTAGAGCAGTGTTTTTCAACCTTCCTAATGCCATGACCACTTAATACAGATCCTCATGTTGTGGTGACTCCCAACCATAAAACTATTAGTGCTTCTACTTCATAGCTGTAATTTTGCTACTGTCATGAATCGTAATGTAAATATCTGATATGCATATTTTCATTCACTGGACGAAATTTGGCAAAATACTCGATACGCCCAAATTTGAATACTGGTGGCGTTGGGTGGGGGATTGATTTTGTCATTTGGGAATTGTAGTTTCTGGGATTTATAGTTCACCTACAATCAAAGAGCATTGTGAACTCACCAACGACGGAATTGGACCAAACTTGACACACAGAACTCCCATGACCAACAGAAAATACTGGAAGGGTTTGGTGGGCATTGACCTTGAGTTCTGGAGTTGTAATTCACCTATATCCAGATTCATCAAACAATGATGAATCTGGACCAAACTTGGCACAAATACTCAATATGCCCAAATGTGAACATTGGTGAGTTTGGTGAAAATAGACTTGACATTTGGGTGTTGTAGTTGCTGGGATTTATAGTTCACCTATGATCTAAGAGCATTCTGAACCCCGCCAATGATAGAATTGGGCCAAACTTCTCATGCAGAATGCCCATTACCAACAGAAAATACTGTGTTTTCTGATGGTCTTTGGCGAACCTTCTGACACCCCCTTGTGATCCCCTAGGGGTCCCGACCCCCAAGTTGAGAAACACTGTACTAGAGCCTTTCAAACAGAAGTCAGTCAGTATGTAAGGAAAACATGAATACAAAAATCTCACATATACTTTTATACTTGGAAATTTAGTCTTCTCTCCAAAAGTGTCCTTTTCATCTTCTAAAGCTTCTGCTACAGTCAGAATTTTCTTTGTAGTGTCCTCTGTATCAGCTTCAGTGGCCCCTAAGACAGGTTATTTAAACAGAACACCCACATGAAAAGCAACCCTGAAAAAATGAGTCCATGCGGGTTCTTTTCATAGCTTTTTCTAATGTTTGATCTGCTAATTTTTATTTTATAAAAAGTTAAAGGAAGCCGAAGCACATTTTTTTTTCTAGTTTAGTCTTCAAACAATGCTAAAATGCAGTAACTGAGATCAAACGCGTAACTGCAGTATCATAGCTATGCTCCATTCTTCATCCAAACTCTGAAACCCACCTTAAAAATCAGCCAGCATCCTGGGCAATGAAGTTCTTCATTTTGTAAAATTGTATCTGGTATTTTCTGTAGAGATCGGAAATGTATATACTACCTACTCTTGTTAGCTTGTCAAGTGCATGTGATTCTGCTTGCTGTATTTCCTGTAAACCATGTTGTGAATGCTGGACTAGAACTTTTGATTTATCAAATGAAAATGAAGTTATACATCACTTAGAATTGATGCTCATTTTCCACTTTCTAATCCCGCTAACTTCTCTCTCCATCTTAAACTTTATCAAGAAGGATTTTAAAAAACAATTAGCAGCACTTTTGAACAGATGCTTTTGATTCGTGTTCATTAATTTGTGCTGTGTTATTCTAGAGACACTATCAGGAGGAAAACTTGAAAGTTAGTGGGACAGCCTGATCGATTTAATTTATCCTCTGGTTTTCTCTATAATATTCATAAAAACCAAAAACCACAAATTCTCCCATCATTGACCATTGTATCCTCCTGGGCCATCTTGCTGGGGTAGGACTGGGAGGCACTATTTTACAGTGGCTCCAGTCCTTCCTGGGAAGTGGTGCTGGAGGCCTTCTTTTCGAACCCCTGGCCATTATCCTGCGGTGTTCCTTAGGGTTCCGTTTTGTCCCCCATGCTGTTCAACATATACATGAAACTGCTCAGAGAGGTCATCTGGAGTTTTGGAGTATGGTGCCACCTATATGCGTATGACACCCAACTCTACTAGTCCTTTCCACCTAAAGCCAAGGAAGTTGTTCTGACTGTAAACCAGTACCTGTCACCTGTAATGGACTGGATAGTGTCAAACAAATTGAAACTCAATCCAGACAAGACAGAGATACTCTTGGTTAGTCGGAAGGCAAACCAGGAAATAGGGATCTGGCCTCTGCTGGATGAGGTCACACTCCCCCTGAAGACACAGGCCTGCAGTATGGGGGTTCCTCAGCGCTGAACCTTGAGGCCCAGATATCTACGGTGGCCAGAAGGGTTTTTACACAAGTAAAACTTGTGTAACAACTGCTCCTGTTCCTTAAGAAGCCAGATTTGGCCAGGTTGCTAACCGGGGCTGGCGACAGGGAGCAGATATCCCCCAGTCTATCTCTAGGCACAATTCGAAGTGCTGATTATGACCTTTAAAGCTCTAATGGTAATAATAATAATAATAATAATAATAATAATAATAATAATAATATTTTCAGATAGGTTTATCATCCTGGAGATGGGAACCAAGTCCAAAACCAAAATTAATTTAATGTTTTATATACACCTTGTACATGTGACCTGAAGGAATTTCATATATAGAGTTTTTAAATAGCTTAGTCAAGCAAAGTTTGTGTACATTGAATGCAAAAATTTCAGTATCTCATCCACCCATGCATTTTGGATTTCGGAACTCTGGGTGAGAGATGCTCATTTAGAGCATCCCTCATCTATGCCATCAAAGTTTGCTTCAATTTGTTAATGTCCCATTTTTGAATCATATTAATATCATATATATCATATCACATTCTGGTTATCTCAACCCACAAACTCCATAGCATATCATTTAGTCCACATTGCTTTTGACACAGAAAAATGCCTTGAAATTAATCCTCAAGTCCCCTGAACATGAACATTGATTTTATGCTGTTCCTCAATTTAGGTGTATTTTTAGAATAATTTTATGAACACTTAAAAAAGACATATTTCATCATTATAGATGAATGAGTGAGTTGCAGAGCTAAAGATTTAAACTCACTCTCTAGTTTCGCCGCATGAGGGCAGTGCTGCTTTATCAAGGAAGAATTGTAGCTGCAATTTGTTTTTCCTTTTTGAGCTGCTCTTGTAGCTGAGTTGTTTTGCATCATCTTCATCTGGATTGTCTGCATGCTTTGGAATGGCAGATAGCTTTTGATGTATAACTGCAAACATGTAAATGAACCTTGTTTTTTACCTTTCAAAAGCACTGGATTGTAACAATGAAAATAACATTATCACTTCTGCCTGAACATAAAGTGACACTGGGGAGAAGGCTGCAGAAAAAGTGTTTACATCCAGAATATTTAGGGCACTTACTAAGTGTAGTCTGCATATCCCAAAATACGTTCATTTGACCCAAAGCTTTTGTCATCACTCCAATGATTCCAAATTTAGGTTTATATCTTTTTTTTCTGAAGTATTTATGATTTTTAGTTTGCAAAGTCACCTGGCAACAAAAAGGCATATGGGCTGGAAATGTTAATTTTGAAATGTGATGACTTATACAGACATTTAAATCTTCTAAAACAGAATGAAGTAAATGGTCAGGGGGGAGAAATGCCATACCCTTGTGCTTCCTATTTTTTCCATTATCTTTTCCACAGGAAAGAAATGACATTCAGAAACAGAGAGGATATTGTATGCACTTTCAAATACAGATCCTAATGTATATTTCCCATTTGCTACACAGTGAATGATCTCGGGGTTGACATTAAAGGTATTGGAAAAAACTCTTCAGCTGCTGACAAAGTTGTGGAGGAAATAAGGGCCAAAGGTGGAAAAGCAGTGGCTAATTATGGTATGTTTCTCACTTCCTCTCCTCACAGCTAAAGGGTGATACAAAATCTGACCATGAGTTATTAAATCAATGTGGTTCTTTGGAAAAATCATGTAAAATCATTATGAAAATGGGAATCAAGACTAATTTAAACTGAGTACTCTGTAGCTAAAAGTTTCTGTTAAGAGACTTTGATGGGAAATCATTGTGGTCTCAGAACTGGAGCATTAATCCAGTTTGCCCTTATACAGTATTATTCCTGTGGTGTAAGTATATTTTACTTCCTTATTTAATTTGGAAGAATGCAGTAAATGGTTGATGTGTATAATGGTTTAATTACTTTGATTCTTCATTTGTAAGTACCACCCCTTCTGGAATTGTTTGATTCTTAAGCCAAATTTTGTGTTGATTAACAGAAAGTATCAACAGGCTTCAATTCCATCTTGTTTACCTCATCCAGCACTTTGTTAAACCTAGCAATGTCCAAATGTATGAAGTGTGTTATGTGGGAAAGAGCAACAGGTTGTGGATGCCCATAATAGCTTGGCACCACCAACCTATTGTTGACCCTTCACTCCAAACCTACCAATGACTTTCACCAGTGCTTCTAATTAAATATAGAATAATATGGAGGAGCTCTGTGAGACAACACATACAAAAGGCTCTGTTCTTGATGGAATGGTGCATCCATTTATACCATATAGAGCATAATTATCCTGTCTTCTCACTCAACAGTCCTGGCATGCTTCACCACAGAGTACTCCTGTGAGGAAACCTTGGTAATGCACCCCCGCTCCATTTTTTTTTCTCAGCTGGAGTAGAAAATAATGCAGTTTGATGCCACTTTAACTGTTTTGCTGTAAAATCATGGGAATTATAATTTTGGAGGGTCTTTCGTTTTCTATGTCAAAAAGTGTTGTTTCCTCACCAAACTACAAACCCCTGGATTCCATAGCATCGAATCATGGCAATTACATTGGTGTCAGATTGCATTAATTCTACAGAGTAGATCCACCTTGAATCTCATGATACATTCTAGACATGCATTTTCCCAAATTCTGGCTTGCAGTTGAAAAATAAGAGCTCTAAGTTGGAAGGACTACCTTTGTGGTCTGTCTCACTTCCTTTGGTTGAAAGGAAGAAAGAGTGGGCAGCCATTACTTTTCTTCCTTTCCCATTGAGAGCCATGATGAAATATCCCACCTTATCACCATTAAATAATGAAATCAAGTTTAATTCACCCAATATTTACCATTCTCAATATTAATAAAGCCATATTGCTGTTTTCCTGTTTTGTATCACACTTAAACTTAAATCTGAGACATTCATATAACCTGATTTTCACATTTTGTTCTATAGATTCAGTGGAAGCTGGTGAGAAGCTTGTTCAAACAGCACTGGATGCATTTGGAAGGATAGGTATGCTTTCAAAAATTGTGGTTTAGTGTAGAGCAGGGTGACTAATATAATATGGAGGAGGCTTAGGTGTTGTGGGGAGCATTTATCTTCTTCATTCTTTCACTAGCATTCTATTACTCCATTAAAATACATGTTCATGTCTAAAAGTGGTTTTGCCACCAAAAAGGATTGGATTTATTTAATCATTGAATGAACAAATCCCTTTGTGGAGAAAATTCCACTCAGTGGATTAGCAGTGAGCAATTGGTTTTGCCAAATCACACTTCTTCACAGTGTGTTGGCTATTAAAAATATTTTACAGTCCATATTCATCAACATTATTTTGTAAAGAAATACATATATTGAGCATAGAAGCAGATAGGAAAGATACATGACAGGAATCAAAATGTTTTGGAGAGTCAGTCTGTTCTGATTGATTTTCTTTATCTTCTTTATTTCAGTAGCAAATGTATCTTACTAGAAATTGTTAAATGTCAGATGGTATTAACACCTAATATTCTCACAGCTGTGTGAAATTAATAAAAGATGCACACAATTATCAATAAAGGACACCATTATGTTCAAAATGACCATATATAAAAGTAATTGTGTAGTTACATATTTAGCCTGCTTTTTTCTTACATCTTAGCTCTTTAAAATGTTGGATTAACTAACATTCATCACAAGCATTTGTGAATTAACAGTTATGGGAAGCTTAAAAGTTTATGATTTATGGTGAGAATGGAAACATCATATAGTAATAATAGTATTCTACCTTCTTTTAAACAAGGTCAAAATTGTAATTTAATTATATGGGATCCTTACTAATATAGCCTACATATGCCAATTTTTTGTGGTATCGTTATTATATGTGGCATAATTTTCTTTAACACTAGCAGCCAGTGATATAGATTAGGGATTGTGGAATTGGCTATTCATGTTTTCTTGGACTGCAGCCCCCACCATCTCACGATGAAGATTGCAGTCCAAAAGCAAATAGTGCCTCAACATCATAATGTCGTGTTTGCTATCATGTATCCTGAGAACATAGTGAAACTTCCCACCAGTATATAAGTATGATTCTGCTATCATTTGTGTAGGAAGTTTGTCCAGAGGGATAGCAGCAAACCTCTTGGGCTCCTTCCACACAGCTGAATAAAATCCCACATTATCTGCTTGGAACTGGGATATATGGCAGTGTGGACTCAGATATTCCAGTTCAAAGCAGATATTGTGGGTTATTCTGTCTTGAGATTCTGGGTTATATGGCTTTGTGGAAGGGCTCATAGAGTCATTATCTATCGCTCCTCCTCCACTGCTATCATTTGTGTAGGAAGTTTGTTCAGAGGGATAGCAGCAAACCACTTAGAGTCATACAGCTCTCCTGTTAAAGTTATGAACATACAGGCAATGACAATCAGTTATAATAAAATATATACCATATGGTAGCAAATGGTTAGCATGGCATTCATCAGCATACTTTTGTGCTTTCATTTAGAGCTATTATTTCATAGCTTTGATAGTGCACCAGAATTTGAATCAAATTGTTGAGTCATTTCTGTTCTGAAAAGTGAGTTACAAATGCACACAGTATTTTCCCAAATTCTTACAACAATTACATTCATTTCAAATAAAAATGTTCCTTTCCATCTACCTCCACATTTCTGCAATCCAAAAGTTCAGTCTTTGTGTTGAGGACCAAGACCTAGAATCCCTTCAAGTTTTTGACAAACAGAAGTGTTTTTTATATTCCTGAAGTGTGTTTTGTTCTAGTATCTCAGAAACATATTGTGAGATGTTGCTTACAAGAATAATAAACTAATACTTAAAAACCATCCGTAACTGAGCAGTGATAGAAATATTCTTTAGGTTTCAGAGGATCGCTACGCTATCCTTTAATTCACTGGCTGACACACATTTTGGTGTCTCAAATGTTAGCCCTGTTTCTGGTTATATTTGACCTGCTGATTCCAAAAACTGCACCAGTTTTCTCCTATTAGCTCTAGTTTTTGAGATATGAACATATGCCATATACGAGTTGTCCTCTCGCCCATAGAAAATCATGATAACATATGTAAAAAACTAGAGCTGATGTGATCTTTCAAATGCAGTTTTCTGAATGAGTGCCTCAAGTAAACCAAGGAACAGACCTAAAAACCAAGACACCAAGATTTTTTTTTTGGTTGGGCTATACCTTGAGCATATCATTGTGCTAAAAACCAGCCTTCTAAGCACTGACAGCTTTGTTAATTCTAAATTAATCATACATAAAATAAACATGATCATTCATGCCAGAACAAGTGTGTGTGTATTTATGTACATATAAAGCAATTTTTTAAACATTTATTTTGCAGATATTCTGATCAATAATGCTGGGTAAGTAAATGTGAAGATAAAGTTTTTCTTTCCACCCATAATTTTATCATGTTATGACCATTTATTCTTCATAATTATTTTGCTTCCTTTTCTTCCATTTAGGATACTGAGGGACCGTTCATTCGTTAGGATCAGTGACGAAGACTGGGGTGAGTTGATAAAATAAAATCCAGCATTTTACGACTAAATTGCATTTGCAAATGTCATATATGTAATCCTTCATGAAACATATGTATCCAGCTTCTCAAATTATTTCTAGATATTATTCACAAAGTACATCTGAGGGGCTCCTTCCTGGTAACCCGAGCTGCATGGAACCACATGAAAAACCAGAAATTTGGAAGGTAAATGCATTTTATTGGCCACTGGATATGTTGTAGATTGATGTAAGATTATATCAAGCTTGGTAAGAGAAAAAGTACTTTTTAGTTACGCTGTATCAATATTTGTTTCTCTGTAAAGCTCTCAATGCTTTCATTTAATGTTATTTAAGATAATATGTACTGTTATTATTTTTACAAAACTACAAAATTTAAGATGGTTCACAACACTTACAATTCTGAAATGGTTGTTCTTAAGCAACAATAATAATTTATAACTAATAAAATATAAATAATCTTACCAATCAAAACAACAGGAACAACATCTTGCTATGCATGCTTTATCTAGTTGTAATCCTTGCATGAATTTTATTTTCACTCTGAGCAACCAACTATGATAGGCCACATAGAGCTCAGAAATAGGAATATCAAAAACATCACAATGGGACATAATTAGATATCTATTTGCCATTTTGATAGAATGTGGGAAGAGTTTGAAGAGGCTGTGACCTTTTTGAGGGTTTCTAGTAGTAGAGAAACTCGATTGGAGATTTCAGTTTGGTGTCAACTTCTAATATAAGTTGAAGTGACTCTGCACTCTGGGCAGCCCTTTATCACTGTACTGTGAAAGTCCCGACTCTTCCGCTGGAGATTTCAGTTTGGTGTCCATTGGCGAGTTATAATCGTCCCATTTTATTTGTTAATGCATTTCCATATTGCTTTAATTCCAAAAATCCTGTAGTGGTTTGTACTATTGCAGTGTTAGAAGACAGAAAATTTAATAAGATATAATAAAAACAGCAATAACATTTTTAAAGTAATAAGGTATTTCATTAAGTATTACTAATGATAGGAAGGGATTAAGACTGCAAGTGAGTGACGTGCTCAAGGCTAACTATTGAGTTTATGGTAGAGGCTGTGATTTGTGATTTATGGTAGAGGCTCTAACTTCATATTTCATTCTGAATAGTTTCTACAAACCTTAGAATGTGATATGAAAACACCCAATTTAAAATGATATCTAAATATATTTTAAAATATCTTCCGATTTGGCTGTAGTATATTTATATTTTCCAATGTCTCTGGCAAGTTCTGATTATAGACTGAGAGTGCCTTATGGTTTTTTTTTAAGTCTCTTTCCATTATGCCACATTCCTGTCATTGTTTACACCCAGCCATTTTTCTGATGTGGAATGTATTTAAAAACACATGTACATCATGTAAGAATTAAAATATTTGCCTTACATGTAAGAGCTAAAATATTTGCCATAGGTTCATGCTGCTAGTGCTCATTTTCAGATGATTCCATGTTATTTTGATGACCATTGATTTCAACTTAGAGTATACTACTTTTGCTTTAGAGATTTGCAAGTTCCATATTGTTTCAGCACAAGACATTTTCTCCCAGGATTTTTTGCTGGCATCTCTACATTCTTAAACATTTTTATTTAGGGGGAAGTTCCTTTGTCATCAGTGAGTGCCCATAATCTTACAGACGAATTGATTGTACAAAGTCATAAACATTAGCCATCCACAGAAATAGGATTATCATGGAGTTGCTGTTGGTGATAATGGTAACCTCTTAAGTACTGTATATGCCTGAATCATTGCCATTATTGGACCCAGCCATGGTCTGACACCTCTGCACCCAAAATAATGCTCGGCCAACAAGGCAGCAGTCAATTGAGTTGAAGTTTATTGAAAAAAGAAGTGTAATATAGAAAAAGCTCATTTAAAAATACTTTCCAAAGTAACAACTAGAAAAGTCTCTTCAGTATACATAAAAGGCAGAAGCATGAATACATTCCAAAAACTGGTTTTAAGGAACATTCCAAAATGCAGGTTACAATCATATTATTATTAACACATGGATTCATTGGTTTTCTTTTCCTTCCAAGAATAATTATGACTTCCTCGGGTGCTGGAATATATGGAAACTTTGGACAGGCCAATTACAGTGCTGCCAAACTTGGCCTTTTGGGTCTCGCAAACACCCTTGCAATTGAAGGCAGGAAGTACAACATCCATTGTAACACCATTGCCCCCACTGCAGGATCCAGGCTTACCCAGACCGTTATGCCTCAAGGTAAGCAATTTTAAGCGCTGTTAGTAAGATGGCAGATTTAGTATAGTGAAATTGCTTCTACTTCTCTGCATCTGAATTGTCTTCTTTTTTTGAGAGAGAGAGCCTTGTTTGGTCATTAAATCACTGGAAAGAGAGAGCAGAACGTTCTATGAGCAAGGAGTAAAGTCCTGTCCTTTCTCCCTCATAGCTCAAGCTAGTAGTACCATCTATCACAGCACTAGCTGCTATTGGCAATTACAAGTTTTCTTTTTTCTAGTCTCCAGCTAATATAAAGAAAAAAAAGAAAAGAAATAGAATAGTGTGTAGAGAATAGGTCTTTCCATGGCTATTAGCTATAATATCTAATAAACTCACTCATCAGTGTATTCTTGTTTACAAAGTGATGATTTTCCACAGTGGAAGTAGTATGCTTCCTAGATGAATCTCTAGGCTACGTGAAATTTTGATTGAGAGTTTAGCTACCTTTGAGCCTTCCTAGATTTTAAGGCGTAGCTTGTGGCCTTCTAGATGTTGTTTCACTTCTGCTCCCTCTACATCAGAGGTGATAGGATAAATAGAGGTGATAGGATTTGGTTCTTACAATTTAGGGGGTATGGAGGTAACTTTTAACCTTCTAGGTATTGTTGGATGTTTGCTTCCTTTCCATCACATGTACTAACTAGAGGTGGTAGGATTTGGTTCCCAACAAGTGGTCACGTCTGTCTTAATTGCAAAGAGAATAAAATTTAGAAACTGAAACTTATTTCGTATTACCGAGTCATTCAAGTTTAGGGAGAAAATGTTGCTGTAATACAAGAACGACCAAATACTATTTTTGAATAGTATATGTTATGATTTCATTGACTCAGTGGAAGAAGTGTGAGAAATTTTCTGCTTTTTAATGTTTGGATTCTCTTGTATGAATCATATAATGCCTTCCATACAAATCCATTAGTACCGTATATTCCGGCATATAAGACGACTGGGTGTATAAGATGACCCCCAACTTTTCCAGTTAAAATATAGAGATTAAGACGACTCCCATGCATAAGACTACACCCGCGTATAAGACGACCCCTGATTTTTGAGAAGATTTTCTTGGGTTAAAAAGTAGTCTTATACGCCAGAATATACTGTACTTTGTGACCAGTATTTAACTTGTAAAGCATCTCCTATTCTACTACTTTCCCTTGGATGTAGTTTTGCTTTGTTGTTTGACATCAGTGACATTGGAATGGGCTCACTTGTGTGTTAAAACTCCTCAGTCCTATAAACATCTTCACAATCATTCTCAGATGACTTCAGAGATGCATACAAAACAGTTAGATGATGTTATTGGTTTTACATATAATGTTTGAACACTTTACTGTTTTGGATGACATAGAAAATGTAGCCTGATGTAAGATACAAATAATTTTGCAGTTCTTCAATGTACAAGTCACCCAAATTGTTACCATAAAAATCCAGATATGCTTCTGGTGAGTTCATGATATGACCTCTGCAGGTGTTTTTTTTCTTCAAATTTTCATTCTTTGCTTGAAGGTGTGTGCTGAAATGCAGCAACCTAGGCTTTTTTATGAATCAGTTGTGTCAGTTTAATAGCTACATGGTGCTTCAGAAGACAAGAGTAAAAGCTTTTCAGATGTGAAACAAGCAGAGTTAACTGCTTTGGAAATGGTAGAAAATACTCTTGCAGCATGTATTGTGTGGGAGTTCCCTCCTGAGTTGTTTGGGATTACAGTTGTGGTGCATTTAATTGGATATCGATTTTCTACTGTTCATGACCTTTGTTCTGAATCTTAGGGAGAAATGCAAGCCTTTGTTGGACATGGCAACTTTGAAAATTGCAGTTTCTTTCCCATACCTGCATATGCACATGGTAGTCAATAAACATTATTTTAATGGGGTTTTTTTTTTTTACATAAGTTCCGTAGCAAGATTGAGTCAGTGGATAGAAATGAATGTCACATTAGAAGATTTCAATTCACGCTACAAGACTTTTTCCTTCTCTCCTCCCTCAAATAGTCCCTCTTTACATACAGACATAACTCACATTCCTACCAATATACCTGTCATGGAGGTCCCATGGTCCTCTGGGACAGATTTGTAGGCACAACAAAACAAAAGAGAGCAACATAACTTTTAGCTTTTTGTTGTATATATTCAGGCAGTTTCTGACATACGGCAACTCTAAAGCAAATCTACCATGAGGTTTTTTGTCAGGATTTATTCAGAGGATATTTGCCATTGACTTCCTCTTATTGGGCAAGTCACCTAGGGGGTTTCCATGGCTCAACAGGGACGTTTGAATTCTGGTTCCCTAGAAGTTCTGGTCCATTACACAAGCCACTACACAATGGACCCTCATCAAAAACGTAGTAATAACCAATAAACACAAATAGGAAGTTAAACTAATGTTTGAAGCAGAAATAAAAAAGATAACCATATGATAAATGTATATACATTCAATGACCCCTTGTGGATGGATAGATGAATGAATAGATAGACAGACAGGCAGACAGACAAACACAGTTTTTGACACAAGAGGCATGCTTTCCTTTTCAGGTGAACATTAACTAAGCATTAATTTTTATTGTAATTTGGTTGAAGACTGATAATAACCACAAAAAATAGACCAATCAGATGTGTGTTGTAGTTGTGAATATATTTATATATATCCTGCCTTTTTCCCAGTGTAGGCTTGCAACACTTAAAATAAACATAGTTAAAAATTTATACTATACAGTAGTTAAAAAGCAATTAAGCTGTTTAAAACAGTTTTAAACATTAAAAACATCAACACAAAGCAGTCTGGTTCAGTAGTTCCCATCTTCTTCAAGGATCAGTACAGATATGAAAGAAGAATTTATTATGGTATGAGCAATCTCAGGCCAATGAATTGGTTTTAATTTTGATAATAATAGGAGGTGCTCTCTGTATAGTCTTGCTTTCTTTTTTGCATATGCTGTTTTTTTAACAATACGTTTCTTGGCATTTGAGAAAAGCCTTAAGCAACTCATGAAGCCTCTTGATCTCTGCAGGCGTGTTAAGTAATTAAGAATCTGATCTAAGTTTCCTATCCAGTTTTTATCCATATAAATAATGTTCATTATAGTGGGATCAGTTGAATTGTTTCACAGGATTCTTTTAAATTGCGGTTCTAGCAGAAGGGATACGTTAGCAGCTGGGTGGTAGGTGCAAGTCTACTTGCACAATCTGAGATTGTACCGTTGAGGGTGCAGATATTATCTTCCCACCCATAGTTTTTATTGTTCTTATTTATATCTTCTCCTATCTCAAATCACATAATTCCTGAGACTTCTAGAAATGGCTAAAATGAATATTTTAATGCCTTGCAAGTTTTTCTTCTTAGACTTCCACTTGTTACAGGGATAATCCTATCCTATGTTCTTACAGAAGTCATCCTTCATGGCTGATGTTTTATCCCAAACCCTTACTTCAGTGTATCACGTGTATTTTCCCCATGTGTCCTAGTATCTTTTTTTTTTTACCTTGGTGACTAATTTTGAAGAAGAAAGTTCTATTTAATTGCTGTTGTGGACAAAATATGCATTCATAGTATCCTATATGTTAAATTCCATCTCACCTAGATATGCTGGATGCGTTTAAGCCAGACTATGTGGCTCCTCTGGTCCTTTGGCTTTGTCATGAAAGTTGTCAAGAGAATAGCGGATTGTTTGAGGTAATTATCATTTGTTAGCTTTGACCCACATTTCATCTCATCACACTTTCCCCCTTTTACAAATTTGTACTTAAGAACTTTCAGATCTCCCATAAATACAACTCTTCCACAATTGGTGAACTCAAGTTAGCATTTTCCTTAGTCTTCATATTTTGAAATGCAAATTTTAATTCCATTGCTTTTGACAAAAAATGGGGTTTGTCAACTTGAAACAAGTGGACAGAAACAGCTGTATTTTCCACTGATTCCTGCATAATGATAAGATAAGCAAGGAGTTAGATCCACAGTCAGCCCTAAACAGATGCAGGTTTGACTTTTGAGGATTTGATTATCCATATATTTGATCAAAGTGTTCATTCTAGGAATCTATGGCTTCCAGTGCAACTCTGTCATCAATTTCCTTCAGCAGGAAGCCATAAGACCTAGAGTTTCCTAGAGATAATACCTTTGTAGGACTCTTTAAGTTTCATAATACAATTCTGTGGTCGGCTTCTAGGGGACATTGACCATAGAGTTGTGTTGGAGGACTTAGAAATTCCTAGAAAAATGTTTTCTCAAGTAAAAAAAAATAATGTCTTTTCACTTTCATTGGAGTTCTGTATTCGAGTAAATGTGGAGGTCTGCCTATATAACATTGTATGAAAATAGTTACATTCTGGATCAGGTGAAGCTGATATTTGCATTTTAATCTTTTTCTGAGAAAATTCCCCAACTCTGCTTCAGTAAGCACACTACAGTTCACTTCTGATAGCAGAAGTCCAGAGTGGTTTAAACAAATCACTATCTATTTTTCAACTCAGTTCACCCTTAGGAATGGATTGTTTTTAATAGACATACAGACTTCTGCTCTGGATATGTAAATCACCTTTAGTCTCTTGTTGGTGTCATTTCATTGTCCTTTGTTCTAATTTTGATACAATTTAGTGAGTGGCGTAATTTATGCAGCCACAATGCCAAGAACCATTCACAGGTAGAGATATCAGCAGATAACTTCTTGGTAACCCGGGAATGTGAGGAAGTATATTCTGGAGGAAAAAGAGACTTAGAAAATAAACTTGAGGCAGAATTCCCAAATCGCCAGTAAGATTTGAGTACATAAATTACTCATAGGATGATGATTCCCTTGAAGAGCAAAAGCTGCAAAATGAATGGAAAAGGGAATGGAAAAGACTGCTACTGACTTTGGAGCAAACTGGTTATGTGTCAGACTCTGGTAGAACATCCTGATTTCTTCCATAACAGTAATAATAAATTTTCACTTACGCATAAAAGGATGAAGTTTGGTTAAGTAGATCTTTCCAGATTTGATTATTCTCACAATGACGAAAGGAAGGAGCAACCAAAGACTGTGTACCCAGGCCAAAGCTTGAGATGTAATAAGCGTTGAACATGATGTCATCCCTGTTGATGAGAAGCAACATCCCTATTAATGAATTCTCCTGTGCTGAATTATGATAGAATTTGCTGTATCATCACTTACTTCATTGACTTTTAAATTTTATATTGTAGGTTGGAGCTGGCTGGATTGGAAAATGTAAGTCCTTTATATAGCTTGTCCCAAAATGTGCCATTTTGATATGTGTAAATGGATTGTTGGATATTTTGTCCACTTCCTTTCAAAAATATCTTGACAGTTCTGTTGATCTATACAAAATAAATGAGCTCGTTTCTTTTTGTTTGAATCCTCTCAACAGTGCCACGGTGTTGTTAGTAAAATAAATTGACTGCCACGGTTGGCCTTCAATGGCACATTGTATGGCTGTTTTCAATTATTGCTAAACACATAAAACATCTATTTGGAGTCTCCATTTGAGCAGCCTTCTCAAGTGTTTGATGAGTGTTCTGTTGTAGAAGGCATTGCACTTTCAGTGTGTTAGACAATGCAGTAGGGCTGAGAAATTTCAGGAGTGGGGGTTGGTTTTTGCCCCTGAAACCTACCACAGGCTGCAGCTCCACTGAAAATATGCTTGTAATGGTTGGAGGATTTCCACAGAAGCAGTTCTTCCTTATGGATTTGTTTTTTTTTTTTAAAAGCCCTGGTGGGGATTATTGGCTAGAGTTGAAACGTACAAAAACAAGTGCACAGGCCTGTATGGTGCCTATGAGCCACATGTTGCTTATCTCTGCAACAGAGGGTTGTGAACTTTAATTGGATTTTATTTGAAACTGAGACAGACGTACATTGCTTTTCAGCTATTGTAAGCTCTTAGTTTTCAAAACACTACTGGATAAATGTAAGAAAAGTTGAATAGTTTCTGCTCACTGAAGCAGAGTTCTGGTCAACGTGGGGCTCTCAGATTATTAATATGTTATAAACTATTAAAATATTATTGACACAATTTTTATATTTGTTAGATTGGTTTTATTATAGATCGGTACAAAGATGGAATACATTTTTAATGAAAATGTGCATTATATACTAGAGATCAATCAACAGAAATAATCTGGAAGCTAGTTTTTTGAGATAATCAGATATTTAATAGCAATAGTAAACAGAAAGAATCATGTAGTTTCTTAGTGGCCACTTTTAAAAATTGTCAATTAATATTTCTTCGTAATGCTGCCTGTTTAGTACGCTGGGAACGATCCCTGGGAGCCATTGTCAGACAGAAGAACCATCCAATGACACCGGAAGATGTGCAAAATAAATGGGAAAAGATCTGTGACTTTGATAATGCGAATCACCCCCGGACTATCCAAGGTACAGGCAACTTTACATTCATGACACTTTCTGTAATCTTCTCCTAATCTTCTCTCCAAAGAAGGAAAAATGTTCTTGTTGTTTTTTGTTCCTTAAAAAGTAATCAACCAGATTGTTAAGGAACATGAATCACGTTGCAGTCTTGGGAGTGTCAGGCCTTAGAATGCTGCATACAAGGAAAGAATGTGTAACTCTTTTCCTCTGGACTGTCCTAGATTTTTTAAAGTAGTAGCTCAATTTTTCTGTTTTCTGAAGCACAGGAGCAGTTTGGTAGTTAGACTCTTAGAACCTCACTTGAATCTATATAACGAACTATTTGAAGACATATCAATGGAAAGGTTCAAGTTTAAAAATTTAAGTTGATTAAATGCCCTGTTGTTTTCCAAAGAATATAATTTTGACTTAGCAGTAGGTGCATCAACTCTTTCGAATATATTTTTCCCCTTTTTGTTCCAATTTGAGCACAACATGATGGGCCACCATCTCTATCAAAATCCATAGTATTGTAGTCATCAAAGGATACATGTTTCCAGAGCAAGTCATTTTTGCCTATGTGGTTAAAAATGATCTTAAGCAGTCTTCTAATGGAGCATATTCAGGACAGCAGAATTTAAGGATTCATCTTGTGGCATTATTATATATCTAACCCTGGACTGTGTTTAGAATCAGGATCAATCCAGTGCAGCTAATAGCTACTTTTGAATGATATTCTGGCCACACAACCTGTCCCAAAATAAGCAAGCTTAATTTCCTCTTTGCAGTCTTGACAAATGAGACTAACACATACATAATAATTGCTAGAGGGGTGGTTTTACCAAAATGGGAACAAAACGTTGCTGAATTATTGCTCTTTTTGGCTTTCCCAATCCCTCCGTTGGCTGATACTACAGTTGCTTCCCAAAGCATTTGTTCTTTCCCCATACTGATTTCTTAAAACTACAAGAGACCAACTGAGATTCTGTTTTTTTGCCACCCCCAAATGGTACCTTAAATGTTAGACCTATTTCTGTTTATATTTGACCTGCTGATTCCAAAAATGGCACGGGTTTGCTGAATCAATGCCCCAAATAACCCCAGGAACAGGCCTAAAAACCAAGACATCAATAAAGTGTTTTGTTGGGCTGTGCTACTACTGTTAGCTAGTACTGATATGTGTTATCACTTCTTCTGTGAACCTAACTCTTAATTGTTTCTACAGTTACCCCTCCACATTTGCTGTTTTGACTTTTGCAGATTTGGTTATTTATGGATTTTCTCTAGAAATCACTAGGTTCTTCAGTGTGGCATGCTAGAAGACCTAGACATTCCTAGAGAGGTGTTCTTTCAGGTGAAAAAAGTAAAAAAATCTTTATTTGTGGTTTTTCACATTCACAAGGGACTCACAGTCCTAAAGCAAGCACGGTGTTGTTAGTAAAATAAATTGACTGCCACGGTTGGCCTTCAATGGCACATTGTATGGCTGTTTTCAATTATTGCTAAACACATAAAACATCTATTTGGAGTCTCCATTTGAGCAGCCTTCTCAAGTGTTTGATGAGTGTATAATAGGATGTATGCTAAGTACACCTTTAGCATTCTGATAGAATAAATTTTACCCACAAGTTCTGATACACAGAATAGCTAATTATCTATCTATCTATCTATCTATCTATCTATCTATCTATCTATCATCTATCTATCTATCTATCTATCTATCTATCTATCTATCTATCCATCCATCCATCCATCCATCCATCCATCCATCCATCCATCCATGTGTATTGTGTGAATGTATGCAGACATACACATTTTGTATACATACATTTGTATATATTTCTTGTTAAGACTATATTTAACATATTAATAAACATGTAATTGGGTCCTCTGTGCCTTACATTTTCTGCTTGGTCAAAAATTTAACAGTAAGCTTCCTGTGATTTGGACAGGAAAGCCTTTGATGAATCTCTCATCTAAAAGAATTAGCAAAAGAGACAGGGAAAATGCCTCACATATCTGACACACTAATTCATTTAATTTTTCCGTGTAATAACATTAGAAAGTTTCCCTCGGTAAGAGAGCCCCTCTCCTTAATGCCTTAAAGCACTGAACTGTTAAGTAAGGAAAACTAATTAGAGTATTCGTATTAAAAATGAAAGCTGTGTTACTTTCTATCTGCGAGTTCAAGCTGTCCCAAAAGATTTCATTACAAACTATTACCAGCATTAATGTAAGTAATTTAATGCTGTGAAAAGCTATTATATACTAAACCATCATATATAATTACACAAAAATACCAATTAGTGTTAGCATTTACCTATCATTTGCAAGGATGACCTAAAATTAGAACTGTAATGCTGCATGGATATTTAGGCCCAGAATGTGTGGTCTGATTTTCATTTACTCTAGATCAACAATCACAGAATTTGAGCTATATCATTTTCAAAAGCGATTTCTTTCTCTGGCCTTAATTGGACTTCAATTGGACTTAAGGCATCGTAATGAAAATAACAACATTGGGTTTTCTTTGTATAGAATTACAGTGTCTTATCCCAATAGACTATTAAAGAGAGTAGCTGTCAATGCCAGTATATTTAATACCTAATTTGGCCTGAAGAAAGAAAGAGATCAAGGGCCCCATAGTGCGTTGATTGCTCTTATTTACAAGTGAGGTCCCTGGCTTACTCCCAGGTAAGTGTGTCAAGTACTGTGACCATAGTGAGTGTTAGGATTTGAACCTGAATTCATATGTTTATTGTCCTTCTGGTTAGAGTAGATCAGTGTATTGTCGAAGGCTTTCATGGCTGGAATCAGTGGGTTGTTGTAGGTTTTTTGGGCTGTATGGCCATGCTCTAGGAACATTCTCTCCTGACGTTTCACCTGCATCTATGGCAGGCATCCTCAGAGGTGTGAGTAGATCCTATTTGAATAACTTTACTTAACATAGTGACACATGCTTTAGATATGAAGAACACACTGTTTCTCTCATAGTGTGGGGGTTTGGGTATTCTTGCTTGTCAAACTGTTAATGCCCAAGCTGATAACTGTCACAAGGCACTTAAATTTCAGACAATTCCTGTAATCGAATTTCCTTAGTGTGTTGGCTGGAGATACTGAATGTGTGACCTTGCGTAGCATGAATGACTCAGCCTGCTGAAGTGCTAAAATATTGTAAATCTAATGCTGCGAGTGGGAATGAAGTTTCCTGTGCCACACAGTTGTCAACATACACTACTGTAGAACTCATTTTATGAGTACTTTTTAAAAATGTGTGTGTGTGTTTCCATGAATTTCAGAGAGCTTTCTTAGTCAAGGACTACTCCAAGGTAGTTTTGCAAGTCCCTTCCCCTTAAATACAGCCTACTCTACTTGACATTTCTTGACAGTCTTCCATCCAAGTGATAGCAATGATTGACCCTACCTGGTTTCCAAAATCAGAGAGTAGTTAGGCAGGCTTCTTCTGAAAATAGTCATGTAGCCGAAGATTCATACCTACTGACAAGAAACATAGGCTTGTTGTTTTTCCTGATCCAGATTCCTCTTGCTATGCTGGCTATTTATTAAAACAACCCTGAATCCACAATGCAATGGTTAAAGTCATGTGTAATTTTCCCCTGAGAAACAGTCGTTTATGCCGAAAATATGTTATACATGCACACGGTCAGATATGTAGCTCTGATGTGAATTTTTAACTCACGTCTTGTATCCATTATATTCTAATCATTGCTCTGTCTTTTTAAATATATGTATTTTTTAGAAATACATTTTCATATGTGTATTTTATATATGATTATGTGCTTTTAGTGATGTTGTAACCTGCCTCAAGCCATGAAGAAAGGCGGGTAAGAAGTAAAATTATTATTATTATTTGATACACAACAAGATTAATACACAGCAAACAAGATCACTATGCTGGCTTTTGTATTGGATCACATGTCGGACACTTCCCAAGTGTCTAGTACTATGTAATGCATACAAATCTGAGTAGGGTGGCCTTTTGCAGCTGACAGATGGTGATTTTGTCAGCGCTAATTGTTTTTAAGTGCAGACCAAGATCTTTAGGCACTTCACCCAGTGTGCCGATCACCACTGGGACCACTTTTACTAGCTTGTGTCAGAGTCTTTTCAGTTCAGCTTTTAAATCTTCAATATGATGTAAGTTTTTCCAGTTGCTTCTCATTCATTACATCTGGAAATCAGGTTATGATATCAGCTTATTTAAGAAAATGGGAATTTTTGTTGAAGATTTATTACTGTCTCCCTACTTTGACCCCCAACACTTTTGTCACTAGACCTCAGCCAGAATTCTTTCAGGCTTGTCTCTTTCTTCCAAAACACCCTTCTTGCTTCTGAGACTGTAGAATGGCCTAAGCTTGAGTATTCTACTATGGGACCTTCATACATATTTGGGGGTTCCAAGATATTGCAGCATATGTTCTTAGGGAGGTAGATTAAATGAAATCTAGGTTGTTGTTTTCTTTATTGAAAATGTGCAGAGCTGAATTTTAATTAAAATTATAGAATTTTCAGTATGATTACAATTAATACCATGTCTTTCATACTCTTCCACAAAAAGCTGCTTCTGTATATCCAGAAAATAAATGTAGAATATAATAGGTTTACTTGATTTATGTTGACAGTGACCTTCACCTATACTTACAAAAATGGCTAAGAGGTTTGCATTAGCAAGTACTTCATAAAACACGTGCACATAGTAAAGTGTGATAAAATCTTTTGCACAAAAATAGAACTTTTTCAAACACAATGTTGAAGTGCCTTGTTGGCATTTTGTCGCTGTGATGGCTCCGAAAGTATTCTTGGAAAGGTTCTTTACATTTCATTCTTTTAAATTGTTTCAAAGCCTTTCCCTTTTTCTATTTCCAGAATCCGTCAGCATGCTGAATGATGTGTTAAGTCAAATAGAATCTCAAGATGTCTCCCCAAATCCCACAAGCCACACTACATCAGCATTCTCCACAGGCATTGACCCTGTAAGTAAAAATGCGTTTTCAAGGTACTCAGCTTGAAGTCATCATGTTGCCTGAAGCCAGGAAAAATTGCTGTGACATATGACTCAGAAGAAACAGTTGTCCCAAAAGGTCATTTTCAGATTGAGAGCCAGAGAAGAGGGGAATAGGAGCACCCTTTTTCCACAGTCACTTTTCTGTTACATCAAATAATGTTGATGAGAATTACAGGATGTATTAGACTCGGGAATCTAATGCTTTGCAGAATTAAGACATCTTAAATCTTAGGTTTCATTAGATAGGTGTAAGTTCTTTGTATAATTTTTCATTGTGGATGAATCCTTCATCCAAATATTCTCAAAATATTCAAATCTAATTAATTAGAAAGGTAGAAATATGCTCTACAATTAGGTTATTTACATGTAAATATATCTCCATTCTCCAGATCCAAGATGTCTCAGTTCTCTAGAACGTTAGATTCTCAAATCTTGTTATTTTAATATGAAAAGGCAGAAATATTTTTTTTACCATGAGGTTGTTTGTGTGTAAAAGGCTGTTCCATGCAAAATATGATCATGAAGGGAAGAGCTTAGTAATATCAGCAGGCGACCTTACTTGGGAAGGGGGATGGGACTAAACAGTATTAGTTTAGGCATACATCAGTTCTGTTGGAAAGCAGATGAAAAACAGCACTGTAATATTTAAATTGCACGTTCTAAGAGAATTGCTCTTGCAGCCAAGAGAGGTTTGTTTGTTCTTCATTGCCATCCAGATTCACTATCTCTGCATATGATCTATTGCATAATGCTAAATTTGGCAAGACAGTAGAAATTTGCCTTTACATATTCCAAACCCTCTTTCCCACGTTCGCTCTAGATCACTCAGCCTTCCAGATTTTGAAAATATTAAGGGGATTAGAGGGGGAAACTCTCTTTGTGATTAAGCAATTGGATGTCATCCTTTCAGCAAGAAGAATTAATTGAATATTACCTGTTTTCAGGTACAGTGGGTTCTTAATATTTTCTGGGTTTTGGTCTCAGATCCCATCTCCACAGATATCAAAATCCATGGATTCTCAAGTCTGATTATATTCAGTGGAACAGTAAAAGAGTATCCCTTATATGAAATGGCAAAATCCAGATTTGCTTTTTTGAAATTTGTTTGGAATATTTTCAAGCCATGTGTGCTTGAATCTGTGGATAGCAAATCGGTGGAAATAGAGGATTGACTTTATTATCAATTTTGGATGTCAATCGGTGGTTTGACCTTCCTGGCTTTTTAGAAGCTAGAGTGAAGTTAATGCCTTGGTATGTTTAGCTGAGAGTTCAGTCTGTGTTTACTTCCCATTTTTAAAATGTGCTTATGTTTCTACCTTACTTTCCACCTTGTCAAGCTTACTAGATCATAAAAAAAATAGAACCATATCAGTTTTCAAATAGAAAACTGCAGGCCTTGCAATCGATTTTACAAAGGCAAGTTACATTCATTGTTTGTGTCCTGAGAGCAATGAGACTGTAATCTCTCTTCCTCTTCATTCATTCAGTCTATTCTAGGAGTTCCCAAACGTTTTCAGCTGCAGAGCCCTTTTTGAAGCAAAAGTTTCTCATGGAACCCCAAGAACTGTTTATATATTATATATTATATATTATATCATGTGTATATATCAGGCATGGGCAAACTTTTTGACCAACATAAACTTAACAGTATTTCAGTGGAAGACCTCAGGGGCTATCCAGTCCAACCCCCTTTTGCCATGCAGGAAAAGGACAATCAAAGCACCCCCAACAGAGGGACACTCAGCCTTTGTAGCAATAGTAATAATAATAATAATAATAATAATAATAATAATAATAATAATAAGTAATAGAAACAAAGGCCATCCAGTCCAACCCCCTTCTGCCATGCACAATCAAAGCACCCCAAACGGGTGGCTATCCCGCCTTTGTAATAATAGTAGTAATAATAATAATAATAATAATAATAATAATAATAGCAGAAACCCGAGGGGCCATCGTGGAACCCCTCAGTATGCTTCACAGAGCCCCAAGGGCTCCCTGGAGTACAATTTGAGAACCACAGGTCTATTCTAAACGTCTAGAGGTGTTCTGATGAGTAGTAATGTACTGTTCATGATCTTATTACCTTCTAAATGTTTGGGATGTAAATAGCTAAACATTTAAAAGTTACAGTATTAAAGTGTGCTCATCTCTTCCTTTTCCATAGACAAAGGCTATTGGCCAGAAGATGCCTCCACTCACCTATGAATACACTCATTTGGAGCCCATCTTGTATGCACTTGGTGTGGGCATGTCAACAAAAGATCCAGACCACTTGAAGTTCCTCTTTGAAGGAAGTGAGGGATTTTGCTGTCTTCCTAGCTTTGGAGTCATACCAGCTCAGGCCTCCATGAGTGCTGGCATGTCTGATATTCCAGGCCTTGCAATCGATTTTACAAAGGCAAGTATCTGCCTTAACAATTGGATGGAGTTCATGGATCAGTTGTTAGTAAATATTGCACATAGCCATGACAGTCATAAGTTTGGCAATTAGAAAAGATTTTCAGATATTAAAATCTGAAATGTATTTCTTAATTCTGTATGGGGAGTCCGTAGCTTGGCTTTGAAATAAAGCAGCACATGCTTTTCTCCTCAGTTGCTCTTTTCTCGGGCCTTTTCACATTACATAACTATAATGCTATTGTTCCACTTTAACAGCAGGGCTTCCATCCAATAGAATCCTGGGATTTATAATTTAGTGTTCCAGGATAGTTATTTATCTCAGACTTTTAAATAACTATTCACTAAACTGCAAATCCCAGGATTCCATAGGATGCTGCGATTTCAGTTAAAGTGGAATCAAGGCATTGTAATCATGCAGTGCATAGCTTTCCAAATAGTGTTTCACAACACTTTAATGTGTTGAATACAGTGTGTAGGTGTGTCTTGTGAACGTAACAAGAAACCTCTCAGTCTGTGTAAAAAAGTCATGTATTTTAAAAAATGTAATGAAAACTTTCTATGAGATATGTTGTGTCTCCATATTTTTCATTATTTCTATTTATGTGTGTGTCCACATCTCTTATAAGAGGTTTGTTAGTAAAACTGAATCACTGTGTCACAAAATGATGCATGTCTAAACAGTTTGTCACCAATATTAAATGTCTGGAAAGCTCTGGTGTAGTGTGAAAGGCCTCAGGTAATGGTAATACTTTCAATTTAATAATTTAGAGAAAGATGAAACTATTGAATCTTTAGTACTGATAACCATTCAGTAGAATCAATGTGCCAATTATGAAGCAACATTTGAATTTATTAATTCTTTGATTTCACATAATTTTATGTCGGCCGCAATATATTTTATTCAGGTGTTAAATAAAGAAATGGAATACATTGTGCTTTACATATTGTGTACATGTTTGCCTCTTTAGACCTGTGGAAGCCCCCACAAATTCACCTTTTCCTTTCAAAAGACAGGCAAAAAGTGAAGAATAATGATGAGTTGTAATTATTCTAAAATAATATAATATAAAATTTCTTAGTGATGATTGAATTAAACAAAGAAGAGCACTGTAAATAGAAGTCTGGGAAAACCTGGGGGGTCCGAACCTAATACTATATACACGCAACGGACTCTGAAGAGTCATAAAATGTAGATAACAATAATAATGGCTTTTATATTTATTCTTTTTCAGCATAAAATGATACTTTGAAAAGAAAAAAAGTCTATTTTATCTGTACTTTCTTCAATATGCATTTACATTGAAAATATTATTTTATCTGAGCACATAATTTATTCATATGGTAATTCCAACCAAGGAAGTATATGCCAAACCATTTATAACACAGTTGTGTGTTTAAAATCTTTAATGTAACTATTTTAATAGAAATAAGTTAAAGGTAAAGGTGGTGCTCATCTCCATTTCAAAGCCAAAGAGCCAGCATTGTCCGTAGATGCCTCCAAGGTCATGTGGCTGACATGATTGCATGGAGTGCTGTTACCTTCCTGCCAGAGCAGTACCTATTGATGTACTCACATTTGCATGTTTTCGAACTTCTAGGTGGACAGAAGCTGGGGCTAACAGTGGGAGTGCTCCCCACTCCCCAGATTTGAATCGCCAGCCTTTTGATCAGCAAGTTCAGCAGCTCAACGGTTTACCCCGCTGCCCCTCCGGGGGCTCCTTCATATAAATATTTAATAGAATTATTTAAACAAATAGTGTTATATTTCTTTGCCATGTATCAATTAAGTAAAAATAATCTTAACAATTTTAAAATGTTCTGAAGCTTAAGTGGTAGCAGCATTTTAATAATAAATTCTGTGAATGTTATTTCTGTCTTACTGTAGGTATTACATGGTGAGCAGTATCTGGAAATATATAAGCCAATACCTACATCAGGTAAGACACATCTAGTTAATCAATCTCTAAAAATATTTTGCGTTATGCTAAAATATTCACTTTTTTATATTGTGGGGTATTTTGGATTCTTGTTCTCAAGGATGCCCTCCTACATGCTCTGATATTTGGCCTGTTTCAATTTTGGGGCTTCAGTTGTAGCATTTTAGAGGAATTGGTCTCAGTACTTCTTGCACTGAATTGTTTCAAAACAGGAATTCAAAACAAGAATGAATTCAAAACACAAGAACAAAAATATACACAGTTATAAATAATATTATGTTAGAGTATTGTCAAAGGCTTTCATGGCCAAAATCACTGGGTTGTTGTAGGTTTATGACCATGTTCTAGAGGCATTCTCTCCTGACGTTTCTGTGGCATCTATGACAAGCATCCTCAAGCATCCACTATGTCTGAGAATGCTTGTCAGGAGAAACGTCAGGAGTTAATGTCTCTAGAATTAGAACATGGCCGTATAGCCTGAAAAAACCTACAACAACCTATTATGTTAGAGCTTCATAAATGCAACCAGCAAGTTGATACAGCATATAGTTAGCCAATAATTATTAGCCTTACAATGGAGAAATGCTATCTCAAATAAACATACTCCAAAACCGGGAGGGTCTGGATTCTGGAGAGACTAAGAAAGACTAAAATTAGAAAAGAGATGATAAATATTTTCACAGAACATATATACACAACAGGTATAATAGGAAAATGGCTGTCTTTCAGTCCAGTTGGACCTTCCTGATGAATACATGAATAAGATCCTGGAGTTTCCATAGGATGAAGGATAATTGTGTCTATAAAGTGTAGAATGCTGGATGATAATAAGGGTCTGAATAATGTATAGCACAGGTTGCAGTCAATAAAATTATATTGATAATTGATAATTTTACATGCCTAGCCGTTGTTACGAGGCTTAAAGTGAAGTGGAGCCTAAAAGTCTAGAACAGTTGAAACATTCACACCTAGCTCCAGCAGACAAGAGTCCTTTGTCTCACCCTAATCATTCCACAGATATATAAACCCTTTTTCCTAGTTCCAACAGACCTCACTACCTCTGAGGATGCTTGCCATAGATGCAGGCAAAACGTCAGGAGAGAATGCCTCTAGACCATGACCATATAGTCCAAAAAAACCTACAGCAACCCAGTGATTCCAGCCATGAAAGCCTTCGACAATACAGTGTTTCTCAACCTTCCTAAAGCCATGACCCATTAAAACAATTCCTCATGTTGTGGTGACCCCCAACCATAAAACCCTTTTGTTGCTACTTCATAACTGTAATTTTTCTACTATTATTAATTATAATGTAAATATCTGTTATGTAGAATGTATTTTCATTCACTGGAACAAATTTGGCACAAATACCCGATACGCCCAAATTTGAATATTAATGGGATTTTTTTTTTTGGGGGGGGGGAATTAATTTTGTCATTTGGGAATTGTAGTTGCTAGGATTTATAGTTCACCTACAATCAAAGAGCCTTCTGAACTCCACCAATGATAGAATTAACAAGGGCCTTGACCTTGAGTTTTGGAGTCGTACTTCACCTATATCCAGAGAGCACTGTGGACTCAAACAATGATGGATCTGGACCAAACTTGACACACAGACTCAATGTGGCCAACTCTGAATACTAGTGGGGTTTGGGAAGGATTGACCCACAATTTTGGGAGTTGTAGTTCACTCACATCTTTATGAATTTTCTAATTGGAGCATTAATAAAAAACAAAAGGAAAGACTGACTTTTTTTCTAATAAATAGCGTTACAAATTACCTAAGTTGCTTCTGCTGCTCCTCTTCCTGATGCTTCTGGGCCACTCTCAGTCCCACCTCACATGGGTGCTTTCCCTCTTGCCTTGAAGGGACTTGTGAGCCTACCTTCAGTCTCACATGCTCTCCCCCACCTGCACATACGTACCATGCTGCCATGTGCTGAGCATGCCTGGTCTCCCCTCCCTGCTTGGAGTCCAAGAAACAGTCCTCCCCTTGGCTGAGAGGCTGGCCAATCACAGCAATAGGAGGATTTGCTGTCTGTTTTCAAAAAGGACGAGAAGGACAGGCGGAGAGATCTTCAGCCTTCTCTGCCAAAGGGGTTCCTAAGACCATTAGAACAATGTGTTTTCTGATGGTCTTGGTGATCCCTCTGAAACCCTCTTGTGACTCCCCCTAGAATCCTGACCCCCAGATTGAGAAACACTGGTCTAGAACAACAGCCCTTAAACAGCTTGAAGACATCAAGGAGATCTAATTTTAAAAAATCTGTGTGGCAGTAGCACTTTGGAAAGAGTGGAAGAAGTTTTTTTTCTTCTGTTCATCAGTGTTGGGCAAACAAATGCCTAGATGGGACAACAATAAATTACAATAACAATAAATTAAAAACTCCATCTGATGTCGATTCATTTAGGCTGTAGTCAGGTCCATTTGATGTGCACATGCATTAAGGCTGTGATAAGCCTTTAACACTTGGATCCTAGTATTCAATATTTTGTGTCATATGATACTTGTTTCTAATAATGCCATGCTATTTCTGATTTTTGGGAAGTACTTGTTTTATAATGGTAGCTATTGATTTTTTCTGTGGAAGTGTGTTTAAAAAAAGAAAGCAATTCTTGCTGATTCATGATGGTCATTTAATTTTATTTATTTTATTTTAGGAAGACTAATTTCAGAAGCCACTGTTGCTGACATTCTCGATAAAGGCTCAGGAGCAGTTTTACTCATAGATGGTAACTATTTTGCTTAATGTTAAGGGCATAAATGGTCAGAAAAATACAATCTCTAAAACTGCATGTTCCTTTCAAATTGTGCCTTGAAGCCCTCTCTGGGGAAGTTTGTATAATATTTATTCTCTTGTCTTAAGGGCAACTTGAGTATCACCTTGCTATACACATAAAAATGTAATGCATGAACAGGTCTTGATATTTTGCCAAAAAAGGGTAATAAGCCTGAAAATCATTTCTGTTTTTCTTCATGTACATCTTCTGTTAGCTTGAATGCCTGTGGGTTTAGTATTAAGATTTTTGTGTCTCAAAGTTAAGATATGGAGCCTAGTTCCTCTTGTAATTTCTTCTTCCAGGGGAAACAGTGTCATATAGAAGTCACAAATCAGATTTATTTATTTTCAATATTTATATGTTACCTTTCAGTTGACACTCTCTAGGACAGGTAACATCAGAATGATAAAGATCTATTAAATACAGGTTTAGCAAATATAGGTTTCTGAAATCTGAGATGCTCCAAAATCCAAAATGGTCTATGTGGGCGGCTGAGATATTGACACCTTTGTTTTCCAATGGTTCAGTATACACCAGCTTTGCTTCATGTGTAACATTATTAAAAACATTTTGTTTCAAATTACTTTCAGGCTATGTGTATAAATGCATAAATGAAACATAAATGAATTTGAAGTTAAGACTTGGGTCCCATCTCCAAGATATTTCATTATGTATATAAAAATATTGCAAAATCTAAATAAAGTCTGAATTCCAAAACACTTTTGTTTCCAAATAGTTTGGAAAAGACATACTCAGTCTATAAATATCAATAGGAGCAACACAGAGATAAACCAAAAGAATTAGCAGGAAGTATCAAACAAAGCCTATAGTATATATCCCTTAGAACAAAGCTGCTTAATTTTTTCCACTCATGACTTCTTGTGACATCACTTCCTAAGGGATTAAGATCTGTACTCACCTTGCTAGACTTTTGATCCCTATGAAGTTTCTTTTCTGAGGCTTGATCCTTTACTGATATAATTAGAAGGGAAATTAAGTCTAGCAGCCCTAGTGTGACATAACCAATTTTCTGATCCAGGGGCCTTTCTTTGGAATACCAGCAAAAATACAGGCAGATCTACATCCACAAAGCTCTCTATGGACATATGAAGGATTGCCAAGGGGGTCATGCTCTTCCTGTCCTAGAAGCACCTCTCCATTGGCAGAGACCCTCACCCCTCTCACGCCTCCTAAATAGCCATTAAAAGAAATTGATATCAAATATCTAGTTTATTATTGTATTTTACAATATTTATGTGTGTGTGTTTGAGTGACAGTGTTTTGTGTAAATAAACTCAGAATGTTCTTATTTATTTATTTATTTATTTGCCATATTTATACCTGGCCCTTTTCAACCCCAAAGGGAACTCAAGGTAGCTTTACACATAGGCAACTATTCAGTGCTTTAAAAACAACATATAATTAAAATAAACATTTAAATTAAGATTAAAATTAATACACATTAAAACAGTTCTTCTTTCCATTTGTGTTTCTTTTTAGTCCACACATATTCTGGAAAGGATCTGGTATGCTACAATCAATTCGCTGTGTTTGTTGTTGGAGCTGGTGGTTTCGGTGGAAAGCGCTCATCTGAGAAAGGCAAAGTAAGCTAGTTAGAGAAAACTGATTTATTTTGATTGACAGATTAACTATGTACAAATACAGGCAGTTCCCAAGTTACGAACAAGATAAGTTCTGTATGTTTGTTCTTAAACTGTATTTGTATGTAAGTCAGAAGAGGTACATTTTAAGTGTAACTCCATCCAAATCTATCTGTCTGTCTATCTTTGGATAGCACAGGGTTAACACCCCTGTGGTGTTTGTTTTGATGTCTGTGCCCCTGTTCAGAGGATTTCGCCTCACTTTCTGTCCCTGTGATGATTGGATTTGATAAAATTTGGGTTGTTGCAGAAACAAGGATTGGTGACAAATCTTCAGTGGAGACACCATTTCCCCATAACTCTTCCAGGAATGAATTTCACTTCCAAGGGGTAGATTTCTCTCACTTCCTGTTGTCCCACCCTGTTCATAAGTTGGATGTTTGTGATTCAAGGACTGCCTGCATCTGTATAATGTATGATTAAAATTGAACAATTTGTAAATTAAAACATTTAATGTTAAATATATTTAAAATGCATCAACTTCATAAAAGCCTTCAGAATGCAAGAAGTGAAGACTTTTAATTGTTTATTTTTATTTTACTTCTATGTTGTTCTTGTTTATTCTTTTATATTCTGACTTCTTCTCAATACAATACTCAAGTTAACCTCCAAAAAATAAAATATATTCATAAATACATTTTAAAAACATGAAAGTCGTTGCTAAATACAGTTTCCTTTAAAATCCTTTAAAGGATGGTCATGAAAAGATGAATGATTTTTAAAAAGCATACTGTTAAAAGCCCTTGCAGTCAATTCCTAAAAGTCTGTCACAACAGAGATGTTTCACTTGCTGTTCAAAGGACAGTGAGAAGAAGGAAGGACATTTTGTGTTCTCTGCCTTTGGGTTTTTTGGATGGAATTCTGCACAAACACATATTCCTTTGAATATGAGGGCATTTTAATGCTCTGCCTACAATGTATTAAATTGTTATTGAAGTCATAAAATACTCCACAAACTAAATTGTAGGTTTGTTTATTCTAGTATGCGAGGATTAAAGTATCAAGGAGAATGGAAAAAAGAATTAAACTTGTAAATAGATCTTGGCACTCAACTCTCCAGGACCTAGTATTCAAAATCAGTATGGGGGGCATGCCTACTTGCATTTTACTCAGGTTTTTCCTCCTTGCTGTATACTCATTTGGTGAACTGACAATTCCCAGAATATCCCTTCAGAGTCTTGATGCCATGCTGTTTATGACCACAAAGCAAAGTACTCTGCCTCCTCCAAATTTACTACTGCTGCCCATTGGCTTCTTGTACTGTGCATTGCTTAAGCCAAATTGTACAGCTCCTCTGTCTAGTGATAGGTCAGTAGTCACCGAATTTCCCTCTTCACACAATGCTTATGTACAGCAGAATAAAATCAGAACATTCAGTTGTAAAATGGGTTGTTGGCATTTTACTGAGTTAAATAAAAGTATGTGTGTTATTATTTTCTTCCCTTGCTTTTCAGGGGACAGTGAATCTGCCCAACAGACCACCGGATGCTGTAGCCACTGATGTCACTACAGTAGATCAGGTAAATGTTCTCCCTAAAAAGAGAGATTATTATGTATCCTTTTCTGCATTTGATGTCTTAGAAATGCTTCCCCCCACCCCTTTTCTTTTTCTTCTTTTACTACCTCAAATGCCCTATCATGAGGTTTTGGTGTTATACAAGAGGACTGGCCTTAATTCACACTACTGTTGTCTGTTAATCCATCAGATAATCTTGCGAGGAATTAATCTCAAAGAAGGCAGGACTAAATCTATCTTTGGCACACTCTGTAGCATCCCTTGTGGCACTCAGTTTTTTTTCCCCATACATGGAGGGTTAGTCATCTGGTTACTAAAATTGTTTGCAGGTTCACGTTCAATTCAGAGTTACTTACTTGGAAGCTGGTTTTAATGTAAACATTCCTATCGAAATATCAGTTTCTTGTGAAACTACTGACTGCAGTTCTTTTACAAGCTCACAAACATTATGGTAACTTATCAAAACTTCCAACAATCAGTTCTGTCAGTTAAATGTGCACATTTTAGGTAATGTAAGAAATATCAGTAGTTAGAATACCAATCCAAATTGTTAACTATTTTTTTTAAAGTTAAATTTAAAAATGGGCATGCTCTCATCTGATGAAACTTCAGAATTTTTTTAATGCGGCGGAACATAACTCCATGTCTTTTATAGGCTTTCAGACATCTGCAGCTGCTTTTGCTTGCCGTTTTTTAGTTTCCATGTAAAAATTAGTTGTTGTAAAGATAGCAAATTATATGATTCTTCGGAAAAGGGCAGTCATTTTTACTTGTAAGTATATGAAGTGTCATGTGTACACTATACATATATTTGTCCTCCACGGCAGAGACACTTCATTTGAGAAAATGTCACAGAGAAGGGATTAACCTTCTGCCCCCAGATCCACAGTCATGATCCTTTTCCAACAGCTGTTATTTGTCAGAATATCAAGTGACAAGTAGTTAAATAATGACTTTCCCTCATCCCTTCCAGTTTAATCATAATGAGCTAAGTATCCATGATTTGTCACCAGCGAGATTATTTGAGGAAAGTTATTTTAGGCATGGGAATGTATTTTATTAAAACACATATTAATTACTGAGAAACATATAGTTGCTCTTATACCTAAAATAATGTCCTTATGATTGACTGACTTCAATTTATGTTGCTTTTGCCAGTGACCTTTATTGTTGGCAGCAGAAAATATTGAAAAATTAGTGTGGATAGGCTAGATATTGCTTTTCCTTTTTTGCTCTGGCAGTAACTCCTAAATTGTTAGGAAATTAAACTTGACAGTCAGCATTATTAATTGGAGAACAAGCTAACTGTACTATAAGTGACTTTAATCTAATGCTCCTGATCAATTGACTTTTGTCATGATCTAGAGATGGGTTAGAGCCCCCGGTGATGCAGGGGGTTAAACTGCTGAACTGCTGAACTTGCTGACCAAAAGATCAATGGTTCGAATCCAGAGAGTGAGGTGAGCTCCCGCTGTTAGCCCGAGGTTCTGCTAATCTAACAGTTTGAAAACATGCAAATGTGAGTAGATCAACAGGTTCCGCTTCAGCGGGAAGATAACGTAACTCTATGCAATCATGCTGGACACATGACCTCTTCTGCTTAGAAATGGAGATGAGCACCACCCTGCAAAGTCGTACATAACTAGACTTAGTGTCAAGGGGAAACCTTTACCTTTTAGAGATGGGTTCGTTTTTCTGTACTGTTGAAAATGTGTAGAAGTAATTTCATTGTTGCAGGCATGCAGTTACAGCATTTTATGATTCTGCTATTATGGATTTAGCTCAGCTTTAAAATCCCTTTAAAAAATATAAAGTATTCTTTAAAAACTGAATTACTATTGAGTATTATAGTACAAGTAACACTGGTGACATAAGACTTAACTGACCAGTTGAGATATGCCTTGTTAAAGTTTAGCACATTTTTCTGAATATCAGAATGTATGAAAGGCTTTGTGTGAATCCTTTAGTGCATTGCTAGACCCTTGCATAATTACATGGAAATTTTTCTTCAATGCCAGCTACACTCTCCACCTCAACTTTCCCCCTTTTGGCTTCTTTTCTTCTAAGCCCATAAATACATGTTGATTCCATGTAAACTCAGGAACAAATTCCATTGGAACTAGGTTCTTGTGGGTTTTTTCGGGCTATAGGGCCATGTTCTAGAGGCATTTCTCCTGACATTTCGCCTGCATCTATGGCAAGCATCCTCAGAGGTAGTGAGGTCTGTTGGAATTAGGACAATGGGTTTATATATCTGTGGAATGGCTGGGGTGGGGCAAAGAGCTCTTCTCTGCTGGAGCTAGGTGTGAATGTTTCAACTGACCACCTTCATTAGCATTTGAAGGCCTGGCTGAGCCTGGGAAAATCTTTTGTTGAGAGGTGCTAAGATGTGCCTGGTTGTTTCCTCTCTGCTGTTTTGCTGTTGTAATTTTAGAGTTTTTAAATACTGGTAGCCAGATTTTGTTCATTTTCATGGTCTCTTCCTTTCTGTTGAAATTGTCCACATGCTTGTGGATTTCAATGGCTTCTCTGTGTAGTCTGACATGGTGGTTGTTCAGCATTTCTGTGTTCTCAAATAATATGCTGTGTCCAGGATGGTTCATCAGGTGCTCTGCTATGGCTGACTTCTCTGGTTGAAGTAGTCTGCAGTGCCTTTCATGTTCCTTGATTCGTGTTTGGGCAATGCTGCGTTTGGTGGTCCCTATGTAGACTTCTCCACAGCTGCATGGTATACGGTAGACTCCTGCAGAGGTGAGAGGATCCCTCTTGTCCTTTGCTGAACGTAGCATTTGTTGGATTTTCTTGGTGGGTCTGTAGATGTTTGTATGTTGTGTTTCCTCATCAGCTTCCCTATGCGGTCAGTGATTCCCTTGATGTATGGCAGGAACACTTTTCCTCTGGGTGGATCTTCTATTGTTTAGTATATTTATTATTGCTCACACAGGGCTGGGCAAAGAGGTCATTACAGTCTACTCATGTATAGAAATTTTAGTTAAAAAATCAACTTCCAAAAACTGGATCGACGTATCCATGGGTCTATGGGAGTACTGTACCTTAACTCAAATTCCCCTTCTCTGATGTAAATGGTTAAAGGAAACAGATTAATCTATTCTGGGAGAACCTCAAAGAAGCACCAATTCCCTCTATTCTCTTTGCCATGGTTTTCCTTTTGGTGGGGAAATAGAGTCTATGACCTAGCCTCCTGAGGTGGCAAAGGTGCTTTCCTCACTCCCTAGAACAGTAGTTCTCAGCCTGTGTGTTTCCAGGTGATTTAGCCCACAACTCCCAGAAATCCCAGCCAGTTTACCAGCTGTTAGGATTTCTGGGAGTTGAAGGCCAAAACATCTGGGACCCCTCAAGTTGAGAATCACTTCCATAGAATGACCCTTGAATTATTCATGGGTCATATCAAGATCCATAATTTTGACTCCAAATTTACTTATAAATGAAGTTGACTTATATATGAGTGGAAAGTGCTTTAAAACTCCATTTTGCCTTCTGTGGCTTTTTTCCCTCTATATCCCAATTCTATCGACCTCTTCCAATCTGCCAATTGCAACAACCCTCCTCCTCCAGTGACTCATAACCGTTGTGGGTTTTGTTAAGTTTGGAGGTTGGAACCAAAAAATCCAGATCATGCTTCTTGAATAAGGAATACGGAGTGATTCAGTTGTGTGCTGAAAGCATGCAAAACATTTCTAATTAAGAATTCTCCAACCTTGATTCACTGGCTGAATTGGTAGCTTGCCACTTACTGCTTGACATGCAGCGGATCAGTGTCCTCCAGCTGAAATGAACATGTTTCATTTAGCATCATACATTATTGACCTTTAAACAAGCTGTTGGAAGGGCAAATAAATGAACAACGTACAAATGCTGATGAAGGTGGGAAGAGATAGAAAAAAATAGGTGATAAATACATCATTGACAAAATGGTAAGATGAGATACCTTACTTTAGATGCCTTTATGGATTTGACAATTTGTAGACTTGTTGAAGTCCCACTACATGCAGGCAACACCCATCTCCAGGGAAAAAAATCCAGATTGAAGAAAGGCACCTTTGAAGGTGATAATAATAATAAAAAAAATTCTAGATCTATGATGACAAATTCCATACCCTTCTCTGTAAATTCTATGATGTACAATGAAAGCCAACATTTCAAGCATAGGAACAAATGAACAATAACTTAACTAATTAAACCATTTCAACGTTTAGTTGTTATTGTTCATGAATTAATTTCATAATTTCCAATGATCAATATCATTAAATTTATTTTTGCACCTAGTATTCCAAGCTCTGGATAATACATGCTGCTGGTTTTTACAGTTTTATTTTATTTTTGCCATTCATAATGAACTCGGAAGGCTGTTTGCAAAGTTGTCTTGAATGAATCATTGATCCCCATTCCAATGGCTTCACTAGCTTGATGCCTTCAAATTGGAATAAAATGAGTTCTTCTCTTTTATGATGTTAATCAAATATTATGCAGTCTTTGTAGTGTAAGATGTTTATGGATATCACAGTAAGGGAGAAAATGACACCAAAGCAGCATAGAAAAAAAAACAAAAAGTCTGTAACTGGATGAAACAAGCTCTAATTATTTCTTTCATGAAGCTCGTGTGTTTCAGTGTATCCATTCCTTCTTCATCAGCTAAATTACCACATACCCCCACGCTCAAAGATAGTCGATTTTTCTGTCTGCACACGACATCTACCTGTGTGACTATAGGTATGGCCATTTAATTTTCTGGTGTGTTCTGAAGTTAGCAACTTTCAGTATTTCTAATGAGTACAGCAAGTGATATATTGGCAAATCTTCTTGGTAGTACATATATTAGTGAATAATTTCACTTATGACCACAAATCACATTGCAACTGATAGTTTGGCTTTGATTTGTTCTGTAGGCTGCTTTGTATCGACTGAGTGGGGATTCAAATCCTTTACACATCGATCCGAGTTTTGCTGCCCTTGGAGGTAGGTTAAAAGGAAACCAAAAGTTTAACTGACTTAATTTCATTGGTAGGAATGGTGAATGCCACTTGTTATTTAACAGTATTTTCTAAATTTCTGGTTGTTTTGACAGTTAATTACTCATATGGCTGTTGATTATTCATATGCTGAGAATATTAGGAATCAAACCTCTAGATCATTTCAGATTTCACATGGTAATTTATTTATATGAATACTAGGTAGCATTTGTTTATTTACCAAGCTAATAAATCACATTTCAGAGTATGCAAAAATTTAGAAATACAAAACAATAAGCCAAGTTGAAATTCAACATAAAGAGGAACAATTGATTGCCCCAAAACTGTCTATGGAGCTAGTGAAATGTCCAGTGGGATTCCATCCCAAAACTGGCATATTATCATAGAGAAGGTTTTCCGCTTTGAAGATAACTCCTCTTCTTGCAGAAGATAATGAGGAAACATTATTTTTGGATTATTTTAATGCACAGACAAGCATTTAATTTAGAACCTTGCTTCTATAGGCTGGATGCACAAGTTAGGATGCAAGGTTATTTTTAGACATTGGATTTTTTCCCTGAGATTTCAACAAAATGGAGGGGCAGCTCACACAATATCAGAAACTGTTGCAACAGTGGTTTTAATAATGATATTATATGTTGTATTTGAAAGTCCCTGTGGACTTACTGAAAGTTGTAAACATCTTTGGATTCTATCGTATCATTCAATACAGCAAAAAGATTTGCTTCCTGCCAGTACAAAAAGAGGTGTCATTATAGTTCAGGTGATTTTGAAGAACAGAAATGCAAACCAATTGAGCTATTGCAGCCTGTGTGCTTTTGCTTTCCTGGAGCAGAAAGTATAATATTAATCTTTATATTGAAGTGTATTTCCAATCTGTTTGAAAATATGATGCTTGTCATGCAGAAGAATAAAATAATATTGCAAATTCATAGGTACCAATCCTAAATAAATACATATGCAGACGTTTATGTTCTTTGCCTTCTCCTTAAGTATTAGCACATATAACAAAAAGCTATTCCATTCCTGCCACTTTTTAACTGTTATTATGGCTGAATGCCATATTGGTTCCCTGAAATTCTGTTTTATCCACATTTGTTTTGCTTTTCCTATTTCCTATTTTACTTGCCTAAATGCTGTGGCCCATCTAATACTTATATTTATTCAGTATTTTAAACTATATTTATTGCCACTGATGAAACTGACATTGACTCCTGCCTAGTAAAAACTAAACCAGAAATGTGCAAACTTGCACCAAAAATTAAATACAGTCTTTTAATTAGAATGAACTATTGTTGCTAGAGATCTTGGAAGTCCATATCACTTCCTTTTTTGAAAAAGTGCTTCTTTGAACCAAAATGACCTAGAGCTCACCCAAAATGTTATGAAACAAGGCAATCATTTCTGGATAAATTTTACCACTAAAACCCTGTGATTGATTTGCCTTAGGGCCACCTCAAGTAGAAAATAACTTGGGAGCATGCAACAATAATGGCAAAAAGTTGATGGGCTTGGTGCTACGGAAATGCTGTAAGGAAGGACATGCCATTAAAATTAAGTCACAATACTCCAGCGCTTTCTCATTTTGTCTAGTTGAAATATACCTAATCTCTGAAGATGGGAATATCCAGAAAAGAAAATTTGATTTTTAAGGACCATGCAGGTTCATTTGGGAGAATTAAATTCAAAGTCAATTAGTAAACTGTTTCAGATTATTCAAATCTAGAGAAACATGTTCTGATCTGGGTTATAACCTAGTTCTAGGCCACTGAGAAAAATCAGTTGGTTTTTCTCAGTGGCCTGCAAAGACAGGTCATGGGATAATAATAGTACAACAGCCCAATCTGGAAGTAAGCACAGAATACAATATTATGGCATTTTAATCTGGCCATCTCTGCTTTCATTGACTCACTGATTTCTAGAGAAATATTTTTTTATGTGTGAATACATGAACATGATTATTCTTACACTGTAAGTCCACACTTAGGCATGTATTCAATAGGACATGTGATGGGTTTCTTTTTTATGTTTGTTGATAGGATTTCAGAAGCCCATCTTGCATGGTCTTTGTTCCTTTGGATTTGCTGCCAGACATGTTTTGAAACACTTTGCAAATAATGATGTCACCAAGTTCAAGGCAATTAAGGTTTGTATCTTTTCATGGGGATGTGTTTGTGTTCATTTGCTGTTTAAAAACTTTTCAGTCACAGTTCCTGAAGTATCACAGACAGGTGCAAATCTAAAACATAAGTCACTGTGCCATGATGTTACCTGGTCCCCTTTATCTACATCATATATGTTCTTATGCAGTTAACATATTGTTAAAAATAGCAGAATCCATGGCCAAATTGGAAGAAGAAAATGAATTGTCTTGGATCACACATAAAATACACGAACACTAATGATAGCTTTATTCATTTATCATGGCAGAAGCGATTTGAAGATACAGTTATAATGTATTTTAAAAAATACAGACAAAGTTAAAAACATGGCATAATACTAGATTTCCTTTGACCAGAAGCTGGCCATTAGGATTGTCTCTGGTGTTGCTTTGAGAAGATCATCCATTGTTCATGTGGCAGGGCTCAGACCGCATTGCATTTAGTGGTCTGTGGTTTGCTCTTCTTCACACTCACATGTTGTGGACTCCACTTTGTGGCCTCATTTCTTAAGGTTAGCTCTGTATCTCATGGACCCAGAGTTCAGTCTGTTCAGCACCTTCGTCCAGTCTTCTGTGTGTCAGTGCCTTAAATCAAGAAACTAATGATAGCTGATGAGCAAAAAAACAGGTCCATGCATAATTTTCATGATATTCCGCATCACAGATAAGCATAATAATCCTAATTATGCACCATCACATTTGGAGAGTCTTTTAAAATCATCAGGCAGGCCTCCTGACTCAACCGGTTGCAGTTATAATGCAAATTATGGATAATACTCAGATATTTGTGGATATATCATATTATGATTATTCAATTCAGTTCCATTGTCATGTACAAAGTCTGTGCTCTAAGACTGCACAATCAAGTTAAAATCACAAAATAAATTTCATAATGTTTTAGTACGTTTATGATTTTGTGTTGTGCCACATTCATAGGCATCCTGTGGGTTGGACAAGCTCCTTTTACATGTTTAATGTCTTAAACATGTAAAATAATACCATTGGTGCTCTCTATTTATTTATTTACTATATTTATATCCCTCCTTTCTCAACCCTGGAGGGGATTCAAGGCAGCCTTACAACAGGCAGCAATTTGATGCCATACACATATATCAAATAAAAATTATAATTAAAAACCAATAATTAAAACATTAATGATTGAAACAGACTCTATCCATGGATTCTGTAGCCATGGATTCCACAGTTCATGACTTGGAAATGTTTTTTTTTAAAAAGCAAATCTTGATTTTACCATTTTATAAAAGGGACACTGTTTTATTATGCTACAGGCACCCTTCCCCTTGATGAAATCAAGGACCTGTGTAGAAATCAATGTGTGGTTTAGAAGGTTAGGGCTTCCATGTGCTGCTGACAACTGCAACTGGAATCCTTGTAGCATGCTGAGCTTAATAGTATTCTCCTTGTACCAATGTCAGTAGAAGTAGTACCCATAGGCTGTGTAAAAAATAGTTTTTCATGTGTATTGTGTTAATTGAAGCAGAGAAAGAAACCTCTTTGTTTATTCTTGAAATAGGTGCGTTTTGCAAAACCAGTTATTCCAGGACAAACCCTGCAAACTGAGATGTGGAAGGAAGGGAACAGGATTCATATTCAGACCAAGGTGAGAGAATAGTGAAGTTAATGTTTCTGTCTGTCTGAAAATAACATTGTGCTAATACTGTTAAAGGTCTCAGCATGCAGATAAGTTTTAGTCCCCATTGAGTCATGAAACTCACAGGGAAATTCTCTGGCCAGAGCTACATCAGACAATCGTTTGGTATTTAAAGTAATGTGTTTATGCAATGTGTTTTGTTTATTGTTTACTTGTTTGGGTTGGGGGGATGATGTCTAATTGCTGTTTTTTAACCATTTGTTTCCCACTTTGAGTCCCACCCGTGGGAGAAAAGTGGGATAAAAATAAATAAAAATAAGATAATAAATAAGTTGGAGAAAAGGCTTTGATGAAACCTTGAGTTTCTTTGAAGAAAATTGGGATGTGAATCAAGTTAAGAAATATTGCTAAATGAATAGCTGTGCATGCCTAAGTTCTACCCCAGTAACAGATGTACAGCAATTTCTTTCTGAAGACACTTGCAAAACCCTCATGTCGAGTATCCAAACTTGTCATTGAGCTTATGACTTCTTTAAGGAGCAGTTTATTGAAAGAATACCTTGAGAAAAGGAAGAGGAATGTGCTTACAGTTAATGTCAAGAGTGCTTACATATGGGTTCTAGCCACATTATGTGTTCATAACTTCCATTTACATCCTACTGTTTAGCAATCAATTACTGAAAACAGTTTGTAGTTGCTGTTGTTATTGTTGTGTGCTTTCAACTCATTTGCTATTTAAGGTGACCTTGAATCAAACATATTGGGAGTGTTTCTTGGTAGAATATGTTTAGAAGGGGGTTGACTTTGTCTTCCTCTGAGACTGTGTAACTTGCTCAAGGTCAACCAGGGGGTTTCCAACTCCAATGCAGGGATTCAAAGCCTGGTCTCCTTGTGTCTCAGTTTAGCACTCAAACCATTGCACTATTTCTCCAAAGCAGTTTACCATTTCTTAAATGTTCTGTTTCAACTTGCCTCAGTATACCTCTTGCATGCTGTGTACTTCAGCTTTCACTATGTGTCAGGGTCTTCCTAGATCAGATTTCCCAACATTTCATTACCTCTCTGTTGTCTATTGTCTTGTAATATATTTGATATAAAATCTCTCCTATCATTTTAGCTGTAAAACACTGTTCCTAAATATAATTGTACATCTCAAAAAATGGTGTCATCTTAAGAAATCATCCTTTAGCCTGAGATTGGCAAAGCACCATACTGTTTTTGAAGCCCTTGTTGTTTCCAGGTGCTTTGGGATACCCTTGTGAACCTAAAAAGATATTAATTTCCTCTTTTTGAAATCTCCAGTCATGCCCGCTCATATTTTGAACAGAAGGGCTCTGCACTGCTTCACATCGAAACAATGCATATTTTGCAAAATTTGGATTTCTACGCTTTAGAAAACACAGTTTTGGCAGACCATGTAGCTCCAATGGTCCCAAGGATAGAGAACTCCCCCCCCCCAAAAAAAACCTGTTGAAGTTGCACATTCTTGTTGTAACGTCTCTTTGAAGATGGCTCTCCACAGGGACTGCAATACAAAGTAGGAAGGGACTATATGCTCTTCTGCTTAATGCAAGCATGTCTTTGAATTATGGACTCAGAAGGCAATGTAAGTGGAGTGGCAACAATAGTTTGGAAAAGTAATTTTTTTATAATCATTGTCTGTGAGACTATGGGGGATTCTTGGAGTTCAAAGTAAAAAAAAGTATCCAAGTTCTACAAAATAGCACTGTGGAAAAACATCTGGGGAGCCATGTGATAGTTTCTCAAATTGTTTTATCATAATCCCTTGTAATTGGCATGGCAATATTCTGTGGAATCCTGGGATTAGTAGTTTAGGGAAGAGCATTAAAACGATCATCCAAAGAGCTCTAGTGCTTCACCAAACTGCAAACCCTAGGATTTCATACAATGTTGGCCGAGCAGTGAAAATGGAGTCATGCAATGTGTGAAAGGGCCCCAGGGTAGGCACATTTATCAATCTAGCTGAGTTTGCCTGCTCCTCTGCTTGGTAGCAGTTCTTCAGAGTCACAGAAGTAGGTCCTTTTCCTGTGTGGCTTCCTGCTTAAACTGGAGATAGCAGGGACTGAACTTGGCACATTCTGCATACAAATTTGTATGTTCTGTTCCTGAGGAGAAATCGGTATTTTCTGTCCCCGTCCACTTCTGTCTTCAAAGTGTTTCAAACAATTTTTCCATTTCCTTTGCCCCAGAGAGTTTATCCTGTCTCATAAATTCTTGTTAAACATAATGCTTGGGAATCTGGAAAGAAGAATTAGAATAGCTGTTCAAAAGCCCATGTTGCATTTGTGTGAAGTTTTTTGTTCCCTCTTCTGCCTTCTTCTTCTTCAGATGAGGTTTGACTTTGCTGATATCTTTGAAAATGCATGCAAATAGAATTTTTGGGTACTGCCCCTGGCTTTCAGTCCCTTGCCATCTCCCCTCTGTGATTCTGTCATCGCTGTCTTTCTGGAATAGTTTTCTTTCCCTTATTTCCATGAAAAAGCCAACCAAAAGAAAGGCAAGCTGAGAATGGCAATGGCCCAAGAGTTTTAGAAATAAACAAAGATTAAAAACAGCAATTTTCTTCATTTATATAAACAAAGAAAACATACAATTAAATGGCTGTAGCCTGTTAAATACCACCAGCCTTCCCTTGATATTTTTTCCATCGAATTTGGTTAAAATATACAGTCTTTTTATTGATTAATCTTTATTTCATCTTGAAATGATTGCAAATGATCCTTTATTTTCTGCTCTTGTGGGTTTTTACCCAGTGAAACATTGTCACTAATTACTCATAGATTTTCTTTTATTAAATCATGCTTGAATGTTCTTCATTAAAAGATGCAAACACAACTGCTCTGCATTTTAGGCATTTTGCTGAAGGATTCCCAGTTATTTCAGTCCTTTCTTTCCCTTGTTTTGTTCTCTTCTTAACTGATGCTGGAACTGGAGAGAAGATTTTTCAGACACCTAGCTGTTGTGTTGGTTGTAATTCTGGTGTTCCTGTGGCGGAAATCGGCTAACAGCATGATGATTCAGTTATTTATTATTAACAGGTCAAAGAGACTGGGAACATTGCAATTGCAGGAGCATATGTGGATTTGACATCAACCTCTGACCAGCCTTCAGCTAAGCAGCCTTCAGCTAAGGTAAAGGAAGTGTGAATAGCTCCTGTGTATTTTGGATGGCAAGACTTTGGTGTATTCTGTCCATAAAATAAATAATGCATTTTCATTTAGGAAATTAAATCATGCCCTACAAATATTAGTTTTCTATGACTTAGATAAATCTGGCCCATTTGTATTTGCTTTGAAACAAATATGTCTTTGCATGTCAACAGATAGTATCCTACTTGACAAAATGAAACAGTGGCTCAGATGGTGGAAATACTGGGGCATGTGGGTAGCAGTGAGGTGCCGAGGAGTGTAGTTGTGGTTCAATAGAGCCTTGCGGCCTTTACTTACGTTGGTTCTCAGATGGAAGGAAGACACTGTTCCTTTTCTAAAATCAGTATCTAATAACCATAGGATCCCTTTGTAGATGGAATGGGAGAGGGAAATCGTCCCCTTGACTTTAGGCAGCCAAAGAGTCTCTTGTGCTGTAGGGATTGATGGGAATCGCTGAGACTGCTGTCTGTCTGGCCACTAGAAATGTTGCTGAGCAATGTCACAGCCACCTGCTAATAGGAAACTCAGATAACAGAATCACAAAGTTGGAAGATACCACAAGGCCCATCCAGTCCAACCCCTTGTCATTCCAGTACAAACAAAACACTCCCGAAAGATGACCATCCAGCCTCTGCTTAAAAGATCTCAATAAACACCAGTCCTCCTTATTTTGATACCTACTTTATTGCTATGTGAATTGGAAACATGACTTCTGCAAGTCTGAAAGTTTTACGAATGTTTTTTAGCACCTAGTATCACTAGCTGTTACTAACAAATATAATTAATTAGAAAAAGACAATTCTTAGTAAAGTATAATACACCAGGTAGAGATGAAGGTGGCATTGCAGGTGGGTAGACTCAATCATGAAAAGCTGTGGGTTTGCAAGACCTGAGCAGGGCACTTATCATAGGATCACAATAAGTCAAAGTTGATGTGACAGTAATGAACAATAAAGCTTTAACTGCATTTTATATTTATAAAGATATACTAATATTTAACCTATTGTTGGAGATCTAACAGATTACCCCCCTTTTGTTTTTTTGTTTTTTTAAAAAACCTGCAGTTTGAGCTGTGTCAACATACTATCAAAACTCAGGTTTTATTAGCAAAACATCTGGAATCCTAGAGCCAAATCAACTCTCCTACCAGTTGTCTTTTCTTTGACTGCCAGCATAAGGCACTGCCATAACAATGAGAACAGTTGCTTTTGCAGCAGCCCAAATTGCATTTGGTTTTTGGAGTGGGGCCTGGGATGGCTAGAATAATATGCATTGGAATTGTTGCCTCATGCGGTTGGAAGAGAGTGGTGGAGGAAGAGAAATGCAGGAAACATTAGAGAATACTATTGAGATACTGGATAATAGGACAGGGATAAAAAGAGGCATTTAAAAAAGCTGGTTGGCCTGCGAAAATATGGCAGATCAAAAGAGAGATGAGGAGTTTGGAAAACGTGTCTTGGGGGGAGTATCACATGCATCTGTTTGTAGAGGTGGCTGTGTTTGTATTTACATGTCTTGGGAAGTAAATCTCTGTGTTAGTCCTTGTGCTTTTGGGTAAATGGAGGAAGGTAAGTGCAAATATGGTTGAGGTGTTGAACAGTCAGAGAGTGAATTTGGCGAGATCAGAGAGAAAGGGAAATTGTAGTATAGTGTGGGGAGAGATAAAAGGTTTCTGCGTCTACCCCCAAAACTTTCCATATTTCCAGAGAACAAGTTCCAAAACGAAAATAATTTTGCTTAATCCCAAGTAAGCGTGTTTGCAGCCTAAGAAGAAGTAAAAAAAATAATTTAAAGTTATACTAGTAAGTTTAAAAAAACTTTAGTCTCTCTTTTCAGCCTTACATTTAATCCACTCACATTTGTCCCAGACAAGGTGACATGGGCTTTACACTGCTTTGTTCAGGATATCATTTGGGTGTGATTTGGATCAACTGCATCTTTTAAATTGCTGTTTTCCCACACAATTTAAATACAATAATAGCTTGTGTCATAGATAGATTTGGAGTATCTTTTTCAGTAGTATTAGAAGTATAAAGTTCACTAGTGCTCCATAATCTTTTACCTGTAATTTCCCATCATCTTTCAACTAGAAATCTAATTACTTAGCCCAATTCCTTCCACCTTTGGAACAGAAAATGCTGCTGTCTATTGATCTATTTTGTTCTGTTATTCCATGACTGTGAAACCCCATCAGAAGGTTACACAATATTATATAAAGAGAGAAGCTAGAATACTGTGTAACCATATATACACTAATGCGTTTTTTCACATGAAATCCCTCTCAAGCATTGTTTCTTTATATACTAGGGAGCAGGGTTGCTGAGCGACCTTGTGTTTGAAGAAATTAGTCGTCGCATCAAAGAGGATGGAAATCAGCTGGTCAAGAAAGTAAATGCTGTATTTCAATGGAACATCACTAAGGACGAAAAGACTGCAGTGCAGTGGAGTAAGTCATAGATTTAATTAATTTATGGAGTGCCTTATTGTATTCTCTAATGAACTGGAAAGATGTTAGACTTGTTGGAAGCCTGGCTAGTTAAAAGTGATATGGCACCAATACAGTGTTTACTTTTTAAAAATACAATGAAAGTATATATTATTACAGCAGGATCGGAACATTAAAAGTAATGCTTAGTTAGGAAAGCATATGTAGTAAACTTGTTTTCCTGGCTAAGTAAAAAGTTAGGAAGTTCTAGTTTAAATGTCATTTAATCAATAGGCATTTTGAGTCTATGCTACGATCCCTTCGTTTGTGTGGCACTTTAAAGGCAACACACACAGGCTTGTTGGAAAAGTTACAGTAATACCTGCATGAAATGCCCTGGACACTCAAAAGAATGATTATGTTCATTCTCTTCAAACACTATGGTAGTGGATTCTCAATTATTGTACTTGATTTTCAAGAAGTGTTCACTACTTTAATATTTTATTATCATTTAAAAATGAATGCATTAAAGATGGTGTTGTGTTCTTTTAGATTTAGAATAGTGATTTCATGTAATTGGTAGTTCAGTCTTTCTTTATGTGGTAAGCAATCAGCTATATTGGATTACATAACAATCCTCATATTGTAGCTGTTCTGTGGGAGGGTTGTGCATACTCCTGATTGATAAGTAGCTCCACACAGGATCAGTGGCAATAGAGACTCTCGAAATGTGAATTGCCTTGATCGCTTAATGAGCATACATTGTATTGCCAGCTGCTGCCAAGCTTCCCATGTCAGTGAGCTACAACAGAAGAATAATTATTGACTTTACTTGCAGTTAAGGCTTTTTTCCCAAAATGATAGTAGATTGCAGGGTCTACAATATTTGTTTTGAAGACTATGTATGTTGATGCCCATATATTTCATTGTTACCTATATAAGTTATTATCTATAAAGCCCTATATACTTCAAGACCACATCTCCTTCTATGAACCGGTGTGGGAAATGAGATCTGCTGGGGAGGCCCTTCTCTCGGTCCCACCACCATCACAGGTGCAGTTGATGGGGGTGAGAGAGACGGCCTTCTCAGTGGTGGCTCTCCAGCTCTGTAATGCCCTCCCTAGAGAGATTAGATTAGCCCCAAATCTCCAAACCTTCCGTTTGAGCCTAAAAAATATAACTATTTATATGGGCCTTTGACCTGGAGTAATGTACTATGGTCATGTGATGACATCTACCATTGTTATTTGGCACCTTATTTCATGTTTGAAAACATCCAATGACCCACAGATATGACTCTATTTTAGATTTTTTTTTATTTTATCGATTGACGTTGTCCATTGTTTGTATTCAGTCACATTGTGTATTGTTTTGATGATATGTAATTCTATTTTATGTGTGGCACCTTGAGTACTTTGTTAGCAGCCCTGAGTCCCTGGGGTAGATGGCGGTGGGGTACAAATAAAGTTTTATTATTATTTCATATTGTTCTCTTTTGTGCCAGAACATTTAGTATGTTGTCTATAGTGAAAATCTGATATCTGCTCTTCCTCCACATTGTTATATTTATGGCATTTATATGTCACTTCACACTACTAAAAGGGGTCTCAGAGCAGAAACACTAGAATAAAATGCATAGAATACAATGCATAATAGTATTATCATTACGATTTCCAGCTGATCTGCTAAAACACAGAAACGATCTACCAGTGAACATAGGTGAATAGTCAATATATCTACCCAAACTGGGCCAATTAAATTACATCTAAAAGGGGGTACCAGGTGAGTTTCCTACCAAATAATATTTCATTGGGTTGTGGAGATACCTCATAGGATATGAAGAGTAGATACCTAGGGAACTCAGAGATCGAACAGGTTTATATGAAGTAAAGCAGTCATTTGGATCCTGTGGTACATGCTAGACTTTGTAGTCAAAACCAACACTTTGAATTTGCTTCAGAAACAAATTGGCAGTCAGTTGAAAGAAACAACAACTGAGATTCTATGTTTAGAATGAGTGGTTGGCTAGTCTGGATGTGACTACATTTTACTCTAGTTTCAGTTGCTAAACCATTTTGTACTTTCAGGGATAGCCCATCATAATCTAATCTACATTTTTACATTATGCTAAATTTGGTGTTGAAAATCTGTTTTTCTTTAATGCCTAGTGAGTAAGATAGAAACCAAGTGAGTTTAGATGACAGAAGATCATCTTTGTTTAATGGTATTTGTTTGATGTATCGATTTCCTAGACTGATATAGATTTTTTTAAAATTATATGTTGGACTTCATTGATTGATAACCAGCACAGATACTTAATGGCGGGCAATTAAAAGAAAACAGAATACTTCAACCCTGAAATTCCAGTTGCTATCAGTGCATGAAAATTTGAAATATAGCAACACTGGGCAATAATTTATTTTTGGTTGACCTAGAAGCAAGGAAAATCTTATCCATCTAGCACTCTTGCATTTCCATAGAGGAAGTTATCCCTAAAGGGCCAGTGTAGATGGGAATCTATTAAGGTTTTTTTCTAAAATGTCAAAAGTAGTTTTCAGGAAGAAGAAGAACACATACTCTTGAAATTGTTCTTTTGTGTCAGCAAACTATCAAAAATATAGAGCGTTGGGAATTCCCTTTCCATAATGTTAAGAACTAAGCAAAAATGTTCCCAGAAAGACCCCCGCTTCTGATCTGTTTCTGTCCTTTTTAAAACCGAAAGCTTCATATACTGAAGCCATCTAGGTCAGCAGCTCTCGTGGGACAGTAAAGGAAGAAAATTGCTACTCAGAGTGTGGTTACTCAATGCTTCGTCATAGCAGGCACACACTTTTGGTCACATTGGGATTTGATATAAACTGTTCCATTGTTACATGCATGAACTGAGCCTTTTTCACACTGAATATCACAGCATAATGGTTGTCAGTTTAACTTTCCTTTCTTTGAAGCCTTAAATATCTTCTTTGAAAGGTTAATGTATACTGGAGATTTGAGAGAGAAAGGGCAGCTTGCTCCATACTATTTTTGCTTTATTCTTTGAAAGGTTTCTGTGATCTGGCTGGGTATTGGTGTGTCTGGGCAATTTTGCACCAGGGAGGCCAATAAATGTTTTAGTGTCATAAGCCTTTGTTAATGCTGATGACAGTAGGCATCTGACTCTTGTGATCTCCTCTGGCCCACTTTTCTCTCTAGTCTTACATTTCCAAAGTTTGTGGCTAAGTTTCAGTCCGCCAGGCCATGGCTTGACAGCACGTCTTGTTTTCCTGGCCTATCTTTCTCCTAGGCCCCTTCCCATCATTACATTTGCATGGACCTGCAGCTGGACCTCCTTCGGCCCTTTTTCTTTTGACTTGTCGCTTGTTGCCTGGCCTTCTGCCATTGTGCAGCCTGCTTCTGTTGACAACACAATCCACATTGTGGGGCCCTGCAGCCCTTCGTGTTGCTGTGGGTGATGACTGATACTCTGGCATCTTCATTTTAACGTCCTTGGGCTGAATGTCAGAACGGGAAGAAATGATGAGAAGCAACCCTTAAGGAAATGATTTGCAGTTCTCGTTGACACAGCCAGTAATTTTATTCTCCCCCAATTCGCAAGTGCCAAAAAAGCTTTTATTGCTTTGTGCAATTGACTATAACCTCCTCTCTTGTATCATTCCGTATCATGCCAACCTCTTCAGTTCAGTACCATCCCTCAGCAGCTTGAATATATAAACTAGAATTAATATTTGCAGTGGGATGTGGGAATTCTTCAGCATACGTTTAGCATATTTCTTTAATAACAATAAGATTTCCTTCACACACTGCATGGAGTGTACTAGAAATCATATGAGGACAATTCATCGATCCTCTCCCTTTGCCCAACCCCTAGCCTTCAAATTACACATATATTTTGCTCCTGGGTTTGTGAAAAGGCTTCCCCTTCACAATAAAAGCAAGGCTATATAGCATTTACATTTAGGGAGCATCTTTCAGATGTTCAAAATATGTTCAAACCCTAAATACCAGTTCTTTTCATGTTTATTCAAATGTCAATTCTGGGTAAGTATATATCTAGGTAAGGATATATAAGGTTTGCAGCACTGATCATGCAATAGCCCTCAGACAATGGTAGCCAGTGCTAGAAGATAGAAGTCAATGTGATTTGTCCAAGGCCAAATACAATGATTTGCAAAATTCAAACTGAGAAGAGAGGTAGTTCCTTTGATTATATTGTAGACCAATATTTTTTGTTGCAACAGACTCACAAGATTTGAGATTTAAAGGGCATCAGATATTTATATAAAGTTACCCATCAAGGGTCTTGGAGAGAAGGGAGAAATAAGTAAATACACATATTCCTACTTTTATTGGAAGCATTTTATAAAATGTTAATAATAATATATGGGAAGACCATCATGGTCACAAGACAGGAGACAAGAGAAGATGGCTCTTGTGTAAGCCGTTAATGAAACATTCACTTCTACATTACTAATATCGAACACATATCTGTCTTTAATCATTTGTTCCTGGAGGTTGGAGAAAGGAATCTGATCCCTGTCAAAGATGGAGAACAGGCAGAGATCTCCCCTCCCTCCACCCACCCTTCCTCCTTTCTTCCTATGGATATCCTTCTTGAGATAGCAGCAGCAAGGGAAACTGGAGATAGAAGCGACAATGGAAACTGGAGATAGTAGCAGCAAAGGAAACCAAGGGATGGGGACCCAGCAGCTTTACCTGACTTTACAGCTTCTCCTGGCAGGCAATGCTTGGCATGGAATCCTTCCTCCATGTCCCATACCACATGGACAGAATGTGCAGCTGTGAGGAGAGATAAGGAAGGGAGAAGGAAGGGATGTTCACTACCCACCCTCCCCCGGTTGCCCTTCTTATGACCTTCCTTGTCCTTGCCAAGTTGGCACACTGCTGCCCGCCTTACCCCTCCCTCCTGCTGCCTTTTGCTTCATGAGGAAAGGAAGAAGTCTAGAGTGGTTGCTGGTAGAGGTGAATGCTTCCCTTTCCCTACCTGACCAGCAGCTCTGTCAGACTTGGATTGGGCTGATGGTAGCAGCGTTATTCCTCCCCCCCCACACACACACACACCAGCAGCCACACTAGACACCTGGCAGAGGTGCTCAGTTCAGCCTGCCTCCTTCCCATTGCAGAACTGCCATGTGACACACAATATGTAGGTCCAGACAGCTTTACCCTGGCCCTTGTCATGTGGCTGCTGCACTGCAGGGAGGAAGTGGGTTGAGCAGCCTTCAAACCTTTGCATAACCCCTGTGAGGACATCACAACCTGGGTTCTGCTGTCCATAGGTTAAGAACTTCTGCTTAAGGCTGCTACATCAAGCACATTGTACCCTATAATAAGGAAAGGGGTCTGTGTATGCTTTGAAATCATTTGGTGATTCTTAGGGGGGTTTAGGGCAACACATTCTCAGATACGGTTTTTTTTTTTTTCAGTTCCTTCTGCTGAAATGTAGACTACAGCATTTAAACCTTTATTTGGTAGTCTCCCATAAAATCATTAATCGGAGCTGGCTCTATCTTGCTTCCAAGACGAAATGGGATCTGGTGCTCTGCCATACTCTGTTTTTCCATCAGTATGGATAACAATGTTCCTTACATGGGATCCCACCCCACACCATTTATACTATTTATACTATTATGTCAAAGAAAAGCCAAATGGAATTATGGTAATTCAACACATTTCCATTTCCAAAATACATTGTATGGATAAGTATTTTCAATGCTTGTTTTATGTTTTTGTAATGATAGAATGAAGGAAGTGTGTTTTAGAAGTTCCTTTTATTAAAAAAATTGTAATTAAGTCCTTCAGATTACTTATGTTAGATTCCTAATGGAAAATGCCCTTAGTATGATCTTTCACACACACACACACACACACACACACACACACACCGCTTCTCCCCATGTAGCATTTTCAAAGTACTGAAAAGGCAGCTGCTGTAAGACAGGTGTAGGAAAACCTTTTCCATTAATCCATTTGTAGTCACTTAGCTCTGAATTGAACCAATATTGTATTTTGTATTTACAAATCTTTCAGAAGTAAATCTTTAAAAACCTAAAGTTTCTTTTCAGAACCTTTGTTCATAGGACAGGAAATATGAAAGAAAGAAAGAAAGAAAGAAAGAAAGAAAAAGGGTTTCTAGATTGTTGTCTTATTGATGCTGAAATTGCTATGATATCATAATTAAAGATGTCAGATCCTTGCAGCAACATTAACTTGGCAATAGTATTGTTTTTACACTTTCCGGCAGAGGCAAGGGAGAATGCATGCCTCTGAAAATTTGCAAAATTTTGAAAATGAATTGGCAAAGCAAAATCTTGTCATAACATTCTCCATTGCAGGCACTGTGATGCCTGACAGCTTATATGCCTTGTAGTAGATCATTTTGGCAGTGCATTTTGTGTGGGAAATAGAACTTTGGGAGAACGGACACTTTGAGGAATTGTTAGTGTTCTGTAAAGAAGGGAGAGATACTTGGCTGAGATTTAAGATACTCTTGAAATTGAACATAAAAAACCACACTGCAAAACAAAAAATCCTGTGTCATATTCTAACATGTGTACAAAGAAAAGGCAGTGTGCAGAAGAATATACTAGGATGTCTATTTCAAACAGTAATACTTGACCTTGAAATGCATCTTGAAAAAAATTAAAAGGATGTTGCCTTTGATTTTTGCAATAACTATTAGGGGGGAGGGGAATAATAGTGAATGTGCTGCCTTCATAAATTTGTGGATGATTCATCTTTCTGTTGATAACATTTGAACATGGTGGAAAGAGTCCATCATATTTCTATAGGACTTGGTGATACAGAAATATTTGATGTTATCTTTAAAGCATTGACTTACTTTTTTCAAACACAAGAGTTCACTATTAAGCAGTTTATGTTTTCTGTCTTAACTTATGTCATATTAACAGGAATTTAGTATTTGTCTTTCTTCTTTTTTCAATCCTTCCCCCATCATTTAGACTATTTGAGAATACTAACTGCAGATTCTCATTTTTCCTACCAAGTTTTAACCCTACAGTCTGAATGATTAGATTTCAGGCTAATCATTTAATTATGTGTTTTCCCCTTTCAGAAGTTAAGTACCATACAAATCTTCAAAGGATATGTGAGATATGTGCATGGCTTTACTGTTGATCTTGTGAATTGTGTTCCTGGATGGTCATGGGTTTGTGAAGATGTGAATGATGAAGTTAAATGCATACAGATAACATAATAAACAAAATAGTAATTAATAAATATAGATAAGTATATCAAGACTTTTGATTACGCAAAGAATTCTGCATGCATCCCAACGTTCTGCCTGGAGGTGGATAACAATGATACTGGAAGTAGGGTAAGGTTGAAAATGCATGGTCCCCAACAGCATATTGTACTCCCATCTCCTGCTAACCCAAACTAGTTTAACCAGGAATGATACAAGTTCTGGTATAAAGGGCCTCACTTTTCCCTTCATCAGGGTAGGGCAAGGAGCCTAACTTTTGAAGAGGATGCTGTATCATTAACTCCTGTATGTCTAGAATCGGCTTCCTGTTCAGCACACATCATTTTATATAACTCCATTACATATACAAGAATTTTCCCTACTCCCTCTTCAATTCTAGTCAATAGATCTTGTGTTTAGTGTGATATTTGGAAACAAAGACATTGTTGAGTTTTTAGGATGCACTTAGGTACATATCATGAAGATGTACAAGATTTCTGGTTCTCCGAAACTTTTCCCTAAAAAAAAAATGCCCTAAACTTTTCTTATCCCTGCTCTAGATTGGAGAATTTGGAAACTTGCACACTTTTGTGACATTTTGGGGGCTAGAACAATAGTATTTACCCAACTTTTTATTTTTTTCATTGACCACATAACTATTTTTTCTTATATGCACGAGCTGTCAAACCTGTCTTTGAAAATTACTTTTGATTTAGTTATGGTTTCTGTCCTTGGCTATCTTCAAGCCTGGGAAGGTGAGATAAAAATGCTTCAAATGAATAAGTCTGCACAGGGGAATTTTACTTTTTCCTGAACAGCATCATCCTGAATCTCTCACAACCCACACTGCTTAAGAAGTGCATGCAGAGATCGTGGCACACTTCTCTATGGATCACAGCAGTGCTTTTCAACAGAAACAATTTCCTCAAGTAATTAATTGCTAAGGCATATGCACAGCCTCTTCAGTTGGATGCTTAATTGAGAATAGGTTGCAGGATTCTATGGAAATCTAAACAGGCTGTCATCCTGCAAATGAGATCAAAGGACCCAGGTGTCTGGGGAAAACAAGAGTTGAGAGCTCAGACAGGTAGTTGCATTTGTCTCATAAATCCAACCACACTCTGACAGAGCTGCACCACAGCAGGTAACTAGAATGATTGAACAGGATGAACGTAATTAGGTAGATATTACGTGGGTATTAATAAATTAAAATAATTTAAAGGCTTGTATGTCTAGAAAACTGGGCCAAGTAGCAGGAGAGAGTTTTTCATTATTTTTTCTACTTGGATGTTGCTGGGATCCAGTATGACTTGGAAGCAGCCATGTTTTGCAATTGTAGTGAAGTTAGATGTGTTCAGACTAATTGACTTCAGAAAACAAGCACATTGCTGATAAATAACCATTGTTTTTTTCTTTCCATTTTATTTCTTAATATTTTGTGAAGGACACAGATAGATACAAAGCAGCAACTATGCATTTTTCTTTCTTTCTGAGAAGCAGCCAACTTTTAATCTTGCCCATTATTCTCTTTACTGCATTTTCTTCTTTTCTCCATGCAGCCAGCAAAATACATACAAGAGACAAGTAACAAGTATTATTTCTTTGCTTTCTAATTTAATCGAAATATCTTTCTTTTCACCAGCCATAGACCTAAAGAATGGCTCTGGGGAGGTGTATCAAGGGCCGGCCCGTGGAAAAGCAGACACCATTTTCACCGTGTCGGATGAAGACTTTTTGGATGTGGTACTAGGCAAGACAAACCCACAAAAGGTATGGATGCAGAACCAATGTTAGAGCATGCTCTCACCAGTGGATCATTAATGTTAAAATAACAAATCCACTGTTAAACCACAAACCTGAACAAACCTCAGAGATACTTATATTTCCATATTGAGGACAGATGCAACTATATTTCTCACCTTGGAGCATATAGCCATAGTTCTGAATTTGTTAAGCAATAACTCTTCTCCAAAGAGACAAAAAAAATCACATTTATTCCAACTCTGTTTAATTAGGTAATTGGTAGACAGAAAGTGGACCCTAAGAACTAAGACGGGATAACCACATATAGAACTTGCCATTAACACAGGTGTCCCTGATTCTGTTCAACAGCAGATGTGTAGCTTTGACTATGCAAAGGGGAAATGTGTTGTTAACTGTCCTCTCCAGTGATATGCCTAAGAAAACTCAGGCCTGTAGGAGCCTCCTGTATATTTTGAACATCATGTTCTTTCCTCATTTATACAATTAAAGCTGGATTTGAGGAACAAAACCTGCAGCCTGTCATGGCTTCTAGGTACAGCTCCTACCTCCAACTGCCATGATATCGTGTTGCTGAGTTTCCTCCCTGATGAATTTAATAGAAATAGAAATCATTATTTTCCTTCTGCTACTTGCCATCCGATTCAGAATGACAAATACAGGGGAAGTGGACAGGCATCTCTTTATCCCCCTCCCAGTTCAAGAAAAAGGGATTGCAGGGATAGGTTCTTCCAATGGTACATGGATCTAGATTCCTGTTTGTTGTCCTAATTGTTACTCCATAATAGCAGCAAGACAGAAAAAAGGGAAGAACCCCCCCCCCCCCTTTCTCTCTGCATTTCTTCCATCTTGACTGTATCAGGTTCTTCAGCATGTTATGTGTTGAACATGATCGAGTGGAAGTAATCCATTTTGCCAGATAGCTTTGACTCAAGTTGTTTTGTTTAGAGTAGATGTTTTCATTCCACTTACTTTCTGGTTAGGCTTTGTCATTTTCTTGTAGCTGTTTTTAAAAGCACAGTTATGGGAGAAGAGGTAGACTATTTAATTGTTTTTTCCCTCTCCTCTACTTGCTGTAGGCATTTATGTCTGGTAAGCTAAAAGTTAAAGGAAACATCATGCTGAGCCAGAAGCTGGGGACGATACTCCAACAATATTCGAAGCTGTGAATTCCCTCTTGGATTGAGCTGGCCTGTGAAGAAGAAAGGAGACATTTCTTTTTCAGAATATCCTGAAATCTTATGCAAATCTTCCATTACATAACATCTGACTTTAGACTTTATTGCTAACATTCAAGTTGCCTTGATTCTTGCCGATTCAGGTAGTTGGTGTAGATGCAGCGGGTTAACATGATATTGACCTCCTTTTCTCTTCTTTCTTCTGTGTTGAAAGTTTTGAAGCCTTTTACTTGTTCTTGAGACCTTCTTCCAGTTAAAACGCATATAGGTAAGATATTTCTGTATGAAATGAACACTTCATTAAATAAAACATACTTTGATAACATCTTATTGGACTCAGTGCCCTAAATTGTATTTTTGTTTGGTTATTTTGAAAAAAAAATGTGAATTTGCAATTCTCTATGTGTTGGTGGATGGCACGGCATCTGCCTTAAATCACAACATTGAAGGGACCAGCAGTCCTGTGTTTTTGTTTGTTATCGTCTAGATGGTATATAAAGGCAATGATCACAAAATTGGCTCTGTAGGCCCATACCTTAAAATAGAGATGGAGGACATTTAGCATTTGAACTGTTTTGTTCTTCAACTGGCAAAATAGTTTACTATTGGCCAACCCTGACCTAAAATATTGCAGCACATGAAAAATGTTTTTCTCTTGACTTCACACCATGTTTAGCTGCGCAGCAGGAGAAAAACAGATATACATTGTTTTGAAGGGAGAGACCAGAAACATGAGTGAGACTATATGAGAGTTAGTGAAGCAAAAAAAGAAATAAGAATTCAAATATTACCTGTTATTTCCTCAAGGATGTTGAAGATAACTTAGTTCTCAAGGGGCTGCTGTGATCAAACAGCTTGTTTTTGAGATTGGAGTATTTTTGGTCATATGTTTACAATTTGTGAAGTTGCTATACACTTAGTTCATAATATCATGCCTGAGATCACAATAACTGATCCATGATAGGCCAGCTGAACCCTTGGGATTTTCTTCAAGGCCTATATGTATGGCATGGAACCTAAAAAACAACAACTGGATTATTTTTGAAATAATCAAACCAGTACACTGTTCACAATAGTAGAAGAGTCTTTGGCACATCACATTTGGAAGGGGAAAATGGTTTGAACTCTAACCAAAAAAAGATTTTGAAACTTTTATTACCGTGGAGGTATCATTTCCTAAAATGAGAAAGGCATGAGATGATGAAGGAAAGACTTATGTCTTAAGTGTTCCTTCAAACTTGCCACCCCATAGTTGCCCAATTCTAACCTGTAGGAAACTAAACTAGAGTTGTGAGATTTTATGTGTTTTTTTTATTCTCATCACTCTTAAAGAACATTTTTATGCAATTCAGTAATCTTTAGAACAAGAAGTTAATGAGTCACATTTCCTGACTGTGTGGTGTTTCTGTAACCTTTTGTGGGAATTCATAAATTGCTTTCAGTGTAGAGGTGTAGGTCAGACTTTGTTTTAGAGTTTAGAAAGAATTGGATCTCTTTTGAGTTAAATGGTAATGAAAACAAGCATTAACTTTGAGAATCATAGAATCAAAGAGTTGGAAGAGACCTCATGGGCCATCCAGTCCAACCCCCTAGAAAGAAAGAAAGAAAGAAACCAAGTGACATGTATGTAGAAAGAAAGAAAGAAAGAAAGAAAGAAAGAAAGAAAGAAAGAAAGAAAGAAACCAAGTGGCATGTATGTAGAGGGCTCATCTCTGAACAAACTGAGCACTAATTCATCAGGGCTAGACCAAGACCTTTTGCTGCCAGGGGCAAGAAAGCAGCACATCGGCTTCTAAATTGGGGCTGTATGTAGCCAAAGACATCAGAATTGGCTGCCTAGCACAGCCTTCTCACTCTACCTGATGGCAGAGCTAGGCCTAGAGGGGAAACATTTTTCTAATGCTTATTTCGAGCTGTAGAAAATCATGTTAGAATGCAGCAACCATTATAGGTTAGAAGTTGAAACAGTTTGTTTTCCCATTTCCAAGGCCAGAGACGGATACCTGAGACAGCAAATGTTGGATGCCAAGAAACCTTACGCTAGCCCTATCTATTTCAAAGGACAATAGTGACAATTTGAAGCATATGTCACTATTATTCTTTCTGGACACTGTCTGAGATTTCACACCTCTAGGTTGAAAAATATAGTAGAAAAAAAATAACAAAATTGGAAAGAATCCCAAGAGCTACTGCAAGAATCCATAGCTAAAGTATCTCAGACAGAAAACCATTCAACAGCTTGATCAAGAAAAAAACTATTATCTATTGAGGCAGTTTGTTTCAGTATGAAACAGCTCTCAGGAGTTTTTAAAGTTTATTTACAATAACCTTACTTGTAATATAAATCTATTGGTTTAAAAAAATAAAAGAAGTTGTTGTTGTTGTTGTCGTTGATGATGATGATGTTGATGTTATTGTCGCTGTCCTAGCCTCTGAAGCAACAGAAGACAAGTTTGCTTCATCTTTCATGCAACAGCCTTTCAAATATTTAAAGAATGCTCTCATATTACTTCTCAATCTTCCCTTATCCAGGCTAAACATATAGAATTATCCCAGCCTTCTCTCACAGGACTTGCTTTCAACTGTAAGGGGTATTTAATGTTGAATCCAAATAGCAGGAAGGATACAAAGTGGAAATTATATGCCAAACAACATTAACTGTCCCAGTAGACTTATAACTCTACATTGAAATTACTGTAAGTTTTTCTTTGCCATTTTAAACAAATCCTTGTAGGATGTGCATTTGTGTCTGTTCAATGTATTCTGGAAGTTTTTATTGGCAGGGAATAGTGCTTTGTATTTGTTTTGTTTTTTCCTCCGTTGTCAAACCTTTGGTTTGGTCATTAACATTGCATTTATTTTCTATCTGATCTATCCATTTGCATCCCCTTTTAATGAGATGTGGCTAGAATTCCATTTTGGCCCCTCAAATCTGACAGTGACAGGGAAATGATCAGTGCCATATCCCCCAGCATTGTGCTTTTAGGCTCTTCATTGTCAGTTTCCCACTGCTGTTTGTTATTGCTGAAACCTTGTTGCCCTGGAACACAGCTCTAGGTCTGCAGTACCGCATCCTCGTTTTCCTCAACATGTAGCACTGACACTTTCCTGACACACTTGTCAAGAAAAACTGGTGGCAAGCCCTGGCAGGAGATCCATACGCAATGGTTGTTGAGAAGGATCCACTCCCTTATACAAGTGCAATTCTTCCCCCCTTGCTAACATTTCACATAGAAAATGAGTTACACTGTTTTGGAAGCTAAGAAATGCAGCGTGGGCAGAAGCATCAATTAAATAAACACAGGAATTTATTCAGGGAAGAAAGGAAAGGCTTGATTTAGGACAGTATGTAGAAAGCTATCTTTGAATAACCTGAGTCATTGTCCAGTTTGAGAAACTTGAGTTTCGACCGCTGTCTCCTGCAAGGGCTTAGTGCCTTTCTGCTGTTGCCTGTATTATGGCCTCCTGAAGGCTTTTGCAGTTCATTTCCGTTTTCTGCAAATCAGTTGAAGTATTACAGCTCAACATCCTCTTAAGCGACCCATTTAATGGCCTTTAAATAACATGCAAGACTAGAAATGAAATAGGGGCAAAGCCTGTAATGCGTTTGCTTTCAGCCTGGCTCTGTCAGTGCTGTTGGCTGTTATGCCTCCAAGCCACTTGAATTGCTCCTAATTTAGTTATTCCGGAGGATTTCACTGCACCTAAGCACTGTCCTCCAGAATTACTGATATTTCTGCTTCGATGCTGGCAGGTGCATTCCTTATTTAAGAAACACTTGAAAAATGAATGTGGTAATAAAAGGATGCCAGCTTCATAGTTTCTGCACATTTGAGAAGTAGTAGCTGGCGTCAAGTAGAAGATGGGCCACTTATAAGCTTTCATGCATTATAGAAATGTAGACCCAGTCAGTAGAAGTGTCACGTTCTACACCCAGGTGCTACTCTGATGAAGAAGTCTCCCGGCTGCTTTATCACATAGCAGCCCCATGCAGTAGAGAAACTACACTGGCAAACTGTGAGAAGTTGATAAGAACCTATTCCCACACTTTTGGTACTATGAGTCTGAGGTCAAGATTGTGTGAGGAATTTTGAAGGGACCCTTTGGATAATTTAGACCCAGAAGAATCCTTTGCTCAAAAGGGACAGACACTCCCTGTACTCTCAATAAAGTGGGGGGGGGGCTGAAACAGTGCTGAAAATGCTCACATGCAGCTCTGCAAGCATTTGGCTGCATTTTTTCCCAATGTTCTCTTTGCAGAGATGAGATGTCCTTCCTTGGTCTAGGAAACTAATGCAGCACCCTCGCCTCTTAGTTGCCTAACCCTTACTAAAGCCAACTGTACTGTCAGTTGAATCTTACTTCCATATGTATGATTGGAGTAGAGTCCTTCATTGCCTCTGAGGCAGCAGACTAATAACCAAGTGGTGAATGGGAAGATACAACCAGCCTACACCATCCAGTCCACCAACAGAGGAAATAAGCTAGGCAAGCTCAGCAAGATAGCTGAGGCCACATTGACACTCTTCCCAGCCACAACATCCACTTCATGCTATAGTTGCCACACTCTCTCTCACTTCCCTTGTGTTTAGCAATCATATTTTGCAAAGCAAAAAAAAAAAGACAAATTTAATGCCTGATTACTTTGTATTGCTTTAAACTACCAACTGCTATGACAATTCTCATTTTAAATGCCCCTACTATAAAAGCTGTAGTGATTATTAAAAATATTCATAATTTTCCTTGCACTTAACAACACTTTTGCCTTGCCTTTCCATCCTCTCCATCTCTTCCAACAGCCACTTCACTTGCTCCATCAAGCTGCCCTGTTTCATTACAGAGTGGCTAGAGCAGTTGTTCCCAACCTTTGGTCCTCCAGTTGTTTTAGCCTACAACTCCCGGAAATCTCAGTTTACCAGCTGTTAGGAGTTGTTGGAGCTGAAGTCCAAAACACCTGAAGGACAAAAGGTTGAGAACCACTGGGCTAGAGGTTCCCATAGCCACATCACTCGGCTAGCTTGTCTTCCCTCTCTTTGTCTGACTCTTCTTCCCAAYCCCCCCCCCCCCAAGGATTCTGGCATGTTAGTCTCCAGCCTAGTGGTTCTCAACCTGTGGGTCCCCAGAGGTTCTGGCTTTCAATTCTCCGAAATCCTAACAGCTGGTACACTGGCTGAGGTTTATGGAAGTTGTAGACCAAAACACCTGGGGACCCACAGGTTGAGAACCACTTCTCTAGTCCTTCTCTCAACAGAGCTCTTGGTGAAGCCAGCAAGATCATGATCAGAAAGTAGTGTTGGTGGGCAGGAGGTAAAGCATCAGTGGACA